GACATGAAGCAACACTGCCCCCCTGTGGTTAAAGAAAGACATACAACACTTCAAATACTCCTGATGTTCACAATGAACTTCAAAATATGTCTGGATTCATCATCTCTTCACTGATGTCTCTCTACAAACAGTAGTGACAGTGGCTCCATTACATTTTGGAGGCAGATATTTAACTTTTTACTTCACTACATTGATCTGAAACGTTTAGTTACTTCTCAGTTTCATTTTACATGTTAAACATGATCAGTTTAATACATATGATGCATTTTTCTTATAAATTTAATTAGAAATCAGTATATCAAGTAGTTAAAACTAGCTGTACCTTGACGACATGAAATGCTTGTACACATTAATGCATCAATACGAATATTCCAATAATATTTATAGAATATATGTGTGTGTGTGTGTGTGTGTGTGTGTGTGTGTGTGTGTGTGTGTGTGTGTGTGTGTGTACAGTGTATATATATAACACTCTGAGTCATTTTGTATAAGGAGTACTTGTGTATTTTTACTTGATTAAGATTTTGAATGCATCTCAATACCTTTGTTTTATATAACATGTAATATAAGTGATTGAAGGTCCAGTGTGTAACATTAAGGAGGATCTATTGGCAGAAATGTAAAATAATATTCATTAGTATGTTTTCATTGGTGTTTAATCACCTGAATATAGAAACTGTTGTTTTCTTCCCCTCAGAGGAGCTGTTTTAATCTACAGACATCTTCAGTGGATTCCACCATGTTGAACCTCCATGTTTCTACCGGAGCCCAGAATGGACAAACCGAACACTGGCTATAGATAGGAGTGTTTGTGTTTTTTCTCTTTTGGTTTTGCACTCGCTATAGTTTCTCCTTTGCACCTGTAAGGGCAGGCTTTAGAAGAAAATATAGAGATGTTTGAAATGTTGGTGGGGAATAAATGTATTTATAAATCCTCTACATGACTTTAGCTCAGTATAAATATTAGTGATTGTGGCTCTGGTATAACAGGTGAAACTAGATTTTGGGGCTTTGCCCCCAGTTTGAACAAACAAAACAAACAAGAAAAGGAACATTTAATTTGGGTTAAACCGTCCTTGAAAGACCACCATCAGATTTTGGCTTTTTCCTACTTGAGCATTGCCAAGTTAGTGAAAGCACTGTTTGCTCAGGACTGAAAGGGACCCCCAGAGTTTATTTGTAGGCCTCACTGATGTTTCCCATGTCCTTTTAAAGAGCTCAATGAGGAAGTGGTCTGTGCAGTCCACCCCCAGCCGGCTGCTGGGGCTTCAGTCGGCTTCCACTGCCTGCTGTCTCACACCGACATGATCGCAGAACAAACCGCTTCTGTGCTCTGATGACGGAGGGGACATGGAAGCATCCGGAACCGCTGGTCCTGATGGGAAGCTTGTAGCCTAAAAGTCTCTGCACGACTCCAGCACTGAGCACGGGTGGGCCGGGCCTTTTGTGGGACCTGCGGTGGTAGAAGAAGATCTTCCTTAGATGTACAATAAAGCCTCAGTTTAATACCAATGACCCACATAAACAAACAAGACCATTTAATCGTTTTCACCTTGAAATCAATGAAACAAGGCGATATAAACACTACCACTTTTGTGCACAGGGGGCGCCAGAATAACAAAAAGATCTAAGTTCCTTGTCAGGATTTTAAGTAAAATTACAAAATTAATTAATATTCTATTGAGTTGTTTAATCTGTTAAAATGCAAAATATTTGTCGATCCTTTGTTTTATATTCTGAAATGTAAAGCAGAATAAGTATAAAACTGAAATACTCAACTATAGTACAATTACCTCAAAGTTTTTGTGTTTTTTGGTTTTTACTTTTGCTTATTTTGTATTGTGCTTGTTGTAATAACTCAATTTCCACGACGCAGACGTGTTACAAAAACAAATATCTGATTTAATGTACGTGGAATTCAGAGTTTTGAATGCTTTTCTTGTGGTTATTTCTTATGAGACGGTGCTCACTCATCAACACTGGAAGATGTCGATGTTTGCACCAGAGTTTCAAGATTTTAAAGAAATTATAGCAACAAAAAATACAAATAAAGGTTATTACTAACCTTTCCTTCTTTCTGAGAGTGAGATGAGAGAACTGATGTGTGTTACGTACAGAACTAGTCAGACAGCATAGCTTAGCATAAAGAGTGTGAGCAGCTGGCGTTAGTTAGTTAGTCCACAGATCAAAAATACACCAAATACACACGTTGTATCCGTACCAGAGAACATCAAATATTCAGTATTAAGTAAAAATCTGTTTGTTAGATATTTAACCAGCTACTAAAACCGCATGTCCCCAAACCTCAAATGTCTTAAGATGGTGAGCTGTTTTTTGGGGGGCACTAAAGGTCTTAATAATAATATTAAAAAACAAACATAAGGCCCCCCAGATGTCCGAGGGGTCCTTAGCAACCACTCAGTCTGCTGATGCCTCGTGCTGGCTCTGCATCAAGTCAACAGAGAGCTCTGAACTCTGTTAGCATTGCTGATTAGCAGTGGGTTGTCGTCTTGGTAATGGCTGCTAACAGATATTGTGCTGTGTGTTTCCTGATCCTGCTGAGGCTGGAGGCAGAACAAGTCAAGTTTAGAAATAAAAAAATAGCAGTCAGAGCACACAGAGGAGAGCTTGGACATCAATACAATGAGGCTCAAATGCAGGAAGGCCAGCGCTTTTATTTTGAAATGTAACATGACTGTTTGTGCTGTTTCATCACTCAAAAGCTGTATTTTATTTTGTTAACCAGCTGTTTGGAGAGCAGTTACAGTATGTTGCATCTTTTAGCCCATTAACTACACATATACAGTAATCTGTGAAGACTTTTCAGCATAATTGTCAATAACACAGTGAGTGCGTTACGGGGCTGAGCTAACGTATCTGTGACTGTAAACTGAAACAATTATCACCTATAATAAAAATATAAAACACTTAGTAATGCTCACCATTAATAATTCAAATCAAGTCACTATAGGTTTATCTTTTATTAGTTGGCTCTTAATGGATCATCAATTAATGATACTTCATACATTAATTTATATACCAAATTAGCTGGAATTAGTTGACTCATGATGGGAATTACTAATAGATCCTACATTAATTCATACATTAAATCATGAGTCATGGTGAGGCATTAATTCAAACCTTATTATAAAGTGTTACCAAAAGGTCTCTAGCAGTTTTTAGATAAGGATTAAATGTTGCTTTGTTAGTTCTCGTCTGTGCAGACAGTCTATTAAAACTTATAAAAACACTGGTAATGTCCTTTAAAATGATCACTAATAATAATAACAACTCTGTACTCATCAAGTTAATGTCTGAGATCTAAACTAAAAATAAGCCAGTTAGACAATCAGACAGGTTGAAAACAAACAACAACATTTTTATCTGGAGTAAAAAGTGAAACTGAGTGTAACCAGTATGTCATACTACAAAGTACAGTGTTAAGTTATTAAGTTAAGTTTAACAGTTTATATTGAACACGTGACTCTGCAGTAAAGTGTCTAATGACTTAAGTTATAATGTGAATCTAAACACAGTTTAAAAAAGGTTTTGGACACACAGACTTCGATTCAGCTCTGGTTGTGTATTGATTAGACACACATAACACACACTCAGTAGTGAACAGTGAATCATCTTCATTTTACATCATCAGGTGTTTTTGTATGTATATAACATTGTGGGATTGTTAGAAGAAAGATTAATAGATTAAAGTCAAACTTTAAGTGTTCTGTTTGAAGTGTGAGAAAAACTAATCCAAAATCACACTGTAATGTTTGTAATAATGCAAAACATCCAGATCTACTGTATAAACTTACTCAGTAGTAAGTTGTGTGATTATATGATTAAATAAAAACCTAAATCTTCATATTTTGACAGAAGAGTCGGAGTTGTGTTGAGAATGTTTTCAGGCAGCAGGGATTAAAGCTAAAGACTGACATTACAAGTGTTGGTGGATATTGTGGATGTGGAAGATGTGGTACATTTTCATGGGAGCTGTTGTTTTTATGTGTGTTCACAAATAAACAAGTGATGATGATGACGTCAGGACTTTGTCTCTCTGAAGAAGAATAAATTGGACATAAAATGTGCCGTACATATACAGTCTCTGACTCTCTCTCTCTCTCTACAGTCATAAAAGTAATCAGATTACTGTTGGGACCTTGCAGGGTCTGCCTCTGGGGTGGGTAAAAGCAGGTGAACACTGCTCGGCTCTGGTCTCAGTGGTTTTAGGCCGTATTGCTAACTTGAGGCTGCTGTGTCTCAACTGGTTGTCGGGGCAACTGAGACGAGAGCAGTGTGGTGGTTTTTTGGCTTATCTGGGTGGAGCGCAGCGGTTTCTTTTCCTCCCCTGCATCTCTGCCCTCTTTCTTCTCCCTCTCTTCAGTGACTGGGGCAGCTGGTGGGAGGTGGTGGGTGTCGTGTAGCTTAGCAACTCCCTCGGTGGACGGCCCGATTGATATGCAGCTTTGTTCAAGTGTCTCTTCTCTCTGAGCCAGAGAGGGGGACGCCTGAACAAAGCGGGCCTTATTGAAGCTTCCCCTCCTCCTTCTCTTTGCCCAGGCACAGCGACGTGGGAGGACAAATATTTCAGCTCAAAGGAACCGAGACTCAAACTTAACAACAGCCCCGAAAGTGTAACTCGAAGTTGGGGGGGCTACCGACATCTGTGAGGGGCCTCCAGGTGTCCCCCAGCTAAATTAAAGCATTAGGCCTTTATAGTATTCAAACAGAGGTTTTCTGTGTACCACAAAGTTCTTAATTCACTCCATACAATCAATGGAAATGAAATTAACTGGTTGAATCTTTTTCTGCCTCCTTTATCTGATTAAATCTGGGTCTAATATGAGCATTTGGTGTCTGTGATATTAAAATATCTGATAGTTATATTAAATTATTTAAATATAACCTCCTCTCTGTGTCCCTGTGTGTTCGTATATCTGCTGCTTGACTCACTCAGGAGTTGCCTGTTTTATTAAGTTGTGGAAACCAAGAAGAAAGACTCAACTTCAAATGTTTATTGAGTAAAAAGTAAAACATTTAATGTACAGTCAATATCAAACTAAAAAGGAAAAACTTCTTTTTTTAAAGGAACATTTCTTTGTCTCCCACATTGTCAGATGAGATCAGTTTCAGGCGCTCTTGGATTCTTAAAAATATGTTGGACTGATGTTTTAAGTTAGTCTTGGATTAGTCTAAGAACAGAAAATGCAGATAAAAACGCATCTTAAACCTAAAAAATTCACATAATACCTGTCCCAGAGTTCCTGCTGACTTGGGTCGGGACACTCGACTCCTTCCTGGTCCCAGAGGACCAAATATGAGCCGCTTCTGGCCCGACCACAGCCGGCAGGTTTGGCTCGGGATTAGAGGAGTTGACTTGTGCTGGTTTGGAGGACTGATTCAAGGTACCTTCAGGTGGTGGTGTGTTCACTGTGTTGAATTTGTACTTTTTAACGCTGTCTATTCATTTTTTTGTTCCTGAACTGATTCCTGAAAATCAAAATTATTCACAATTCGTGAAATGGGAACAAGATAACGTCATATGTTTGTCTGTTGTTGTCTCCTGTCTACCTGTATTCATAAAAAAGTCACCTGCTGACAACTGACGGCCCGTTATCTAACGATTGTTGAGAGACCAAAAGATTCTTGAGATCATTGAAACCTTCACCTCTTCCTTCTGATTCACTCATCGCTGAAAGTTCTTCTACACATTGCAGGTTTTCTGCTGCAGTATTGAGCAGCTGCAAGACAAAACTTGAGTTTGTTAAATTACAGTTAAACAATTAGGTTCAGATGAAGTTCTGATGTTTTGGTTTTGTTAAAGTTAAATGGATTGTGTAGCAGTTAGCCTGCTAGTTAAATACTATCAGAAGAAAAAAAAATATACACCTTCCACAATTATCAATATACAAGATTTACATGTTGTATCTCGTTTATTGAACACTTGTAGAAAGAGAAAAGTAAAGATGAGACTTTAGCAGCAGTTAAAACCACAATGTTGACTCTCTTTTAATATCTTGAGTTAAGTTATAGTGGGCACAAGATCCATAACTTCTACACACACAAAATAATCTTATACCTGATGAATATCTTGATCCATATATTATCTTGCACAGACAAGATAGTGTATCGTATCTCGATCAATTTCTGGTAATAATAATAAGATATAAAGTAAAATAAATGACATGGTTGTTGTGCCCAGAAGAGATTGAAATATTATTATTATAAAGAAATCTATAATCTATTATAATCTAGGTTTCAAGATGAGTTTCTGGCTGTAAATTACAATGTAAAATACCTTTTTTTGCTAATTTTTTAGGTCAATATCAGTTAAAAAGAAAAAAAAAAATACTTGGGTCGGCAACAAATTCTTGTCTGCTCTCCCCAGCAACTGGTCACAGAGCGACTGTTTATTATGTCTGCAGAAACTCAAAGGCCAACTGTTATTGTGAAGCTGTGACCTTCAATAATTGAATAATGACAAAAAGGAACGTCACAGTCGGGCATGAACAGCTTTTCTCCTTCAGTGGGTGTTGAGATCGCTGCTGCGTAGCATTCCTTCCAGTGGAGATCAGAGTCAGAACATCTCTCTTTTTCCAAATAAAACCAAATCCACAAGGATCCTCCATAAAAGTTTAGATGGTTTAAGAACAACTGGAACTCTTCTGTTTCACTCTCTGTCTCTTGGACTCTTTTTCCTTCTTTGTTTGGAAAACAACAACATTTCTCCTTCCCCCATTTCTTTGTGTTTCTCTATTGTTTTTCTGTCTTTTCTCTCTGACTTTCTTTGCACTCTTAACACCGGATTTAACTCTGAACTGGAACCTGGAAGTCTGCAGATTTAAATCAAATACTTTATAAGAAAATGTTTATATTTTACAACAAAATATCACTACATTTTAGACCGTGCTGACAATGCACACACACACCTGGTTACTGTTTTTATACATATATGTAAAAACATGCATTAAGCTGTAGTTTAACAGGTGGCGCACACACTCACAGACACAGACATTGTAAATTGTTAAAAGAACTTACAGGATATGACTGAAGCTATTTTATATTTTCTTGTTATCAACAAATCCCACATACAGACCAAAACCAACACTGTGTTAGTCCGTCCCTCAATACTTTCTGACTTCCCTCCTCTCTCTTTTTAATATCTAAAAAAGGCTCAGCTGGGCACTATACTTAAAAACTATATTACTCAGAAGGAAAGGGACTATTTTCAGCAGTTTATTAATCCACATTATAAATCTAGTGAGTGTTTCCGGCAGCAGGACAATGTACGTGGGACTGAGTCAAAAAGTGAGACTCATTTATGTGTTTTTAATAGTTTTAAACAACAATGGAGCTCTGTGGCACAGAGGAAGAAAACTTTGGATACACAGACAATATTTGTTAGTAGATACATTCATTGTTGGTTTGGTCTGCACTTGGGATTTATGGACAATAAGAAAAACATAGAATATCACCAGACTTGTAAGTGATTCTGCTGCTGAAACGAATCCACTAAAACACATAAATTCATATTTAAAACGATAAGTAAAAAAAAGCACTTTCATAGTTTAACTGAACAGATTGTAAAAAGTGTAACTCAGCTTATTAATATTCCAATAATTAGTGGAATAAAAAGCTCTGTAAACACAGATAGAGCATTCATCAGCAGCTCTACTGATTATATCAGTTAATAAAGTTTATAAAAGACATTTAAAAAAAACAGGGAGTTACTTACAGGTGATGCAGAAAATCTAAACTTTACTAAACCAAAACAAATAAAAAGTCAAACTTCACACTGAATTGTTTCACGTAGTTATAAAATGTTGATTGATCTCGAATATGATCTTATCCCATTGTTTACCTGCTGTGGAGACGCAGTGTAAATCAGGTGCGTGAGCAGCAAAACAGCAAAATCATGTTTTTTAAAAAAGAAAACAGCTCACAAAGTTCACAGCAGTCAGTCTGCTCACTAAAGTCTCAGTGTGTGTCTACAGTTTATCCACATTAAAATCCCCCCGAACTCAAACTACCCAGTGTCTTTAATACAGTACTTAGATCAGATAGTACTAATATCCTGATGCGCATTAGAAAAGTATTAATAACTATAAAATGTATCATAAAAACAGGATTAAATCCATCACAAGTGGACAACACTAAACTCTAAAAAAAAAAAACAGAACATCTTCTATATTGAATATAATCTAACAAGTTTGTGCTCCTACAGTGGTTCTACACCATCAGTTCATACAGACTTAGATTAAAGGGGGTTTTATTCTGGTTGTTTGTCCATCATCTCTATCAGTCATACTGATATTTCATTCTAGTTAATAGCAGAGATCTGGAAAAATAAAATAACGTCTGACAGTTCAAGAAACACAAACAGTTTGGAAACAGTCAACATCCATCACAGTTACTTACTGTTTCAACTTTAACCTACTATACTTACCGTAGTTGTAGTTTTACCTTCATTAGAATTAGTTTCACTGACAGATAAAGTGGTTTACAGACATTACGTGCCCAAACTATGGGCATTAATCTGCTGCTATATCAGCCTCCACTCTTCTGGTTTCATTAGATGTTGACCCTGACTGCAGGGGTTCACTCCCATTCAGCCACAAGAGCATCAGTGTTTGTTCACACTGGAGGAACAGGATCAAACACAAAGTTGGAAGCACTAAAACATCAGAGTATGTTGTAGCATAAAGATTAAGATACCAAAACTGAACCAGGAAAAACAGACTGAGATATATAGAGTGTGATCTGGATAAACTGTTTGTGTTTCTTGACCCGAGTTCTTCTTAATGAAATCAATGTGCCCTCAGATCTACACTATTAACTTGGTGAGTACAATATTATTAGAACTGGTGGAAACGATGGATAAAACAACGAAATGAAGACCCGAGTTGTAATAAACCTAAATGATGTGGTTAAATGGAGTTCTGGGCCTCAGCAGGGCGTCCCGATGGCTGTCGAAGAGTCTTTCGCTCTGTCGTAGCAGACTGCTGGTTCTGTTGCCAACATGCTCTTCGTCTCCTCTTTGCTGGAAGGAGACAGGGAGGATGGAGAGGGCGACGTGGGCGAGGAGAGGTTGGAGGTGGCGGTGGTTGAAGCAGATGAGGACGAAGAGGAGTTGCCGTCGGGGAGGCACTCTTCACAGCAGCAGCAGCAGCAGTCCATGAAGGCCTGGCCCAGCGAGCGACACAGGAACAGCAGCAACACCGGGGTCGCCGAGCAACGCACGAACAACAGGAACTGTCCAATCAGACCCAGCGCTGGAAGAACCAGAGCCGGGAGCTGAGCGGACACGTGGTCGGAAACGTACGCCAGGGTGATGTTACAGATGCTCTCCGGCAGGTTGCACGCGATGTACAAGATGGTGAGTGCCATCACCGTGGAGCGCAGCCTCTGCTCTCTCACGTGCTGCTTTTTCTTTGTCGCGGAGGACGACGAAGACGAGGAGGAGCATCGGCTGGTCACCTTTTCCCCGCCGGGTTTCTGCGGCACACGCTGGGATAACACTTGCCTCGTCACCAAGTCGCAGGCCAGCGTGAAGAGCAGAGGCAGACAGATGTAGCACCCGAAGAACCACCACATGCGGGCCTCGTGGTAGGTCAGCACCAGAGAGTAGATGCTGTCTGGCAGCTCCGCGGACGGCTCACGGACGCAGACATCCACCTTAAACTTGTCTGTTCGGGCCCTAAAGGCAGCCATCAGCGAGCCTCCTGGCTGGCTCTGCTGCAGGTCGCTGGGGAGCGTCGGCAGACTGACAGTTTCCTGGAGGAGCTGCCACAGCAGCAGCTCAGGGGCGGCCAGCACCAACGAGCCCACCCAGATGACGGACAGCTTGGATAGGATGGACTGGCAGGGCTCCACCTTCGGCGTCTGAAGGGGCCCGGGACCGGTGGCCGCATGGAAACGATCAATACTTAGAGCACAGAGGCTGAATGTGGCCACGCCCAGAGAGGTGACCTGGGAGAGGAATGACAGAGAGGGTTTATTGATCAGGTATCAGCCATAAAAGGAACAACTTTAAGGTTGTCGAGTGAGGAAAAAAAAAATTTTTTCATGGTTAGCTGCTCCATTACGTTTGTTGCAAGTCAGAAAAACATCTGCCTATAAATTGAACTCATATAACCAAACTTAAACGTCTCAGAACGTTGCCTTTACTTTCCCTGGGAGTAGGGTAGCACTACCTTTTATTCTTTTCAGGAAGTTTTTTTAAAGATATATGCACCTGTTCTTTCCAACACGACAGTCTAAATTAGAGCTGACTTGATCAGTTTGTTGATCAGTCAAAGGACAGAAAGAAATTATTTAAAAATGTCAACTGTCCTCCAGTTCCAGCCTCTAAAACGTGAAGATTAGATGATTTTCTGTGTTTTAAATCACTGTAAAGTGAATATCTTTGGATTTTGGACTGTTGGTTGGACAAAACAAGACATTAACTGAAAAAACAATCTGCTGATTAATCGATAACAATACTTGCAGCCATCGTCTCCGTGTTGTTCTCAAGCCTTTTTCATGCTGCGAGGAATGAAATTGAAAGTGGAGAAATATTAAACTTGTGTGCAGAACCTGGTGATCCCCCTCCAGCGGTTTAATTCATCAAAAACATCTCGACGATGTAATTGTTAAATTTGAAGCAGAAGAAATCCTCTTCAGATCTTCTCACCTCATATTTTATATGTCCACTGTCTGTCGAACCTTTTACTACTTTTATAATCAAACAAACAAAAAAAAAAACTTTAATATTTACTAACACAGTTGTTCATGTTTTACACTGATGATTCAACCAGGAGCTCCAACTGTGAATCCCCTAACATTGTCTGTTGTAAATCCATTAAGGTTAGTGGTCCAATGGCTGATTTTTCTCAAATGTTGTTCTTATTTACGATTAATAACTAAAAAAACATACGTCATAAACCATTAACCATAATTATATCTTGTAATTCCTTTATAGAGGCGGCTTTATGAAAATGTGGTACTTCAAATAGTAAATTTTAGATAACACTGAAACTCTGGTCCCGTGTTAGTGACACTGCTTTTAAAAAGCACAATATAATTCAAACCATTTAACAGTTTTTTATAATTCAATATGACTTTTTAGTGTTGCAGAGCTGCAGGAAGTCCCTCACACTGTATTAATTCATGCTGCTGGTTCCAGTCAGACGTGACCTGTTTGCACAACTGAGAACAACAAACGTCCTGCAGGCGGTCTACACTGAGCACAGGAAGGTGTTTTGTTGCCTAAAGAACAAATTTAAGGCTTTCCCTCTGCCTTGTTTTGCCTTATAGCCTGTAGGTGAATTAGCCACAACTACAGTAATAAGTGAAAACAGCTTCAGAATACAGAAACAGGGAAATAAAAAAGGAGCCACGGAGGGGAAAGAGCCATTATGCTGCAACAGCTCTTAGCCTGCAGACTGGGGGACAGTTATTGGTGCCTCATGCACATTAAAGTCTGTGGTTTTGGCCAAAAAACACAGACTATCATTACAGAGACTTGTCCTCCCTCTGTGGGGGCTTAATGACCTCAAACGGTTAAGACACAAACTCAAGATAATTAACACAGAGCTCTAATTAGCATGAAAATAGTTGAACTAACAGAGCACAGGGGCAGCTGGCAGCCTGACCTGCTTTCAGCGCGGCTCAATACAACGCTCAGGGTTCAAACCGCTCAATAGCACTTTAAAAAAATGTTAATTAATTAGCAAGAAATACATTCATTAATTAGCATAAAAATAGGTAAAGCAACGGAGAATAGAGGAGGCTGGCAGCCTGACCTTGTTAAAGACTGCTTCACACAAGCTGTTATTACAAATTAGTAGAACTCCACTTCAGTGATTTAGAGCTCTGTAGGCGTACGGAGCTGGTTTAGAGCCAAAAACAAGGACTCCACAGGCCGGCAGAGTCCACGGTAGTACAGGAGACGGATGAAGCCGATGTAAACTTAACAATGAGAAACCAAGAGGCTGTGAGAGCTCCACATTATCAGCTCTAAGCTGCTGAGTTTTCAGCTTAACTAAAATAATCCTCTGGACTGTAAGTCAATGTTATATTTAGAGCTGCAACAGTTGGTTGATGGTCAGAAAAATTATTGTTTACTTAATCTTTTAAAAGTTATATTTCAGCCAAAAGTGGCTGTTTTCAGCACTCAAATATAATAATAATAGATTTCCTGCTTTTCTCTGTTTTATAATATTGTAAACTGATAATTTGGCTCTTTTTAGATAAATGATTAATCATTTAAATGTAAAAAAAATTTGTTCCAGCTTCTCCATTGATAAGAACGTGCAGCTTTTTCTTTGTTTTATGATTTTGTACATTTAATTTCTTTGGGTTTTCGACTGTGTTGTGTTGAGCTTTTGGAGGAAATTATTCAATAATCAAAATAACCGTTAGTTGCAGCCCTACTTATGATCTTATGTTATCTGATTGGCCACCCTATTATCCTTCCCTCTTCCACATTGTCTTTTACAGGTTGCACCAGACTCGGTTTTAAAGTTAGAACGCGTCCACTGTTACCAACCATGTCACGCTTAACATGTTGGGATGGGCCCCTTGACCTCTGACCTCAAGATATGTGAATGAAAGTGGGTTCTATGGATACCCACAAGTCTCCCTGTTGCAGACATCCCCACTTTATGTTAATCCAACGCAGTTTTAGGCAGAAAGTTGTATTTTCTCCTAATTTATTTGAATATTTCTGCATACTAGGGTCCGTTGGAATTTGAGAGGCTGAGACACTTACTTCATGCCACCCCTGCATGAGTTAGTGCTCCACTGTGAGCAGGTCCACTGATCCCTTTATATTAAAACAGATTGGTGGTTTGAATCCCAGCTCAACCTCTCCACATCTCCAAGTGTCTTTGAGCAAAACACTGAACCACAAACTGCTCCCAACGTGTGTGTAAATGAGGGAAAATGTTAAGTCACTGTGGATGAAAGCATCAAATCAATGTAATGTTATATTGTGACACATAATATAGCAGTATGTGACAGTATTCTTATTCATATATTATCTCCATTAGAGCTGAATTGATTAGTTAGTTCATTAGTTGATCAACAAAATGATCAATTATGAAAAACATTATTAAAAATGTCAACAATTCTCCAGTTTCAGCTCTAAAATATGAGGATTTGCTGATATTTAAACTGTAAAAACATTGATTGGCTGATTAATTAATAAAAACTAGCAGCCCTAGTTTAAACTCTGGGTCTGTAAACTCCAACTTCATTACTAAGACTTCATTTTGGATGTCTACACTCTGAACCTGTGAATAAACGTCTCAGTCCGTGATAACTACGTCTCTGTGTTTCATTGTTTGATTTCTGTGAGCAGAAGAAGAAGAGTCGTTTCACGCGGGGGCCCCGCCGGCCTCCCCTGATGGTTCATTACAGACAGCTGAAGAGGCCAAACAGACCATAACAGCACGTTTGTTGAAAGTAAAGACTGCTCTGAGCCGGCAACTGAGCAGCAGCACAGACACAAACAGGCCATTCATCACAGGCCTGGATGTCTCTCTATTAAACGGGAAAACATTCACAATGAGTTTAACATGGGGGTATAAAAACAGCACAGACTTGAGGGACAGATGAATTATCATCACATTAAGTTGTTTGTTTAACTTGTTTGACATCTCCTCACTATAACTGGAGGATATCTGGGTTTTGGTTCTGATGTAAAACACTTTAAGGGGCAATTAGAGTTAACCTGTGATAAAATAAATAGTGGATGATGAAACTATGATTATTTAAAAGTGATTTTTGTCATAAATTAAAAACACCAACCATTCTCTGGTTGCAGCTTCTCCTGTTTGACCATTTTCTTCTTTTCTCCCTTTTATAAAGACTGAAAACTGACATTTGTTGGGTTTTGACTGTTATATAATCTCCTTGGTTTTTGGGAAACTGTGATGAATATTTTTAGCCTACAGACTAAGCAATTAATCAAATATAGTACAGTTATAGTATAGTACTAAAGTTACCTGTTGTTTACCTCAAGCACTGATTTGGAAAGGTGTTGACCTGAACTTTCTTTAATTAATAAAAGTTCTTTTTCTCAGCTAAACCTTTTCAAAAAATTCAATAAATCTTATTTTTATTATTTAAAAAAATAATAATTTTATAATAATAATAATATAAAATAATTATATTTTATTTTTATTAATTTATTTTTTATTTTATTCGATTTTAACGGACACGAGGAAAGTAGTAGGTATAATTATAATATAATATTCGGTGTTATTTTCACAGTATAAACGCTATAAATTATATAAAAACTTTAATAATTTAACATTCTCACTAGAACTTAAGGAAATTAAACTTAATTAAAACATTAATTCATAAGTTCACACACTCTTCCGGTGCTCGTCACCAACTTCTCCTCACCTCCAGGTAGGGCACGAGCCGACAGGACAGGTCTCCTAGCAACCTCTTCAGGGTGAGCTCGTGGAAGACGACCACGGGAAGGCAGAAGAACAGCACGAGGAAATCCCAGAACGCGAGCCCCGCCAGGATGCAGTTCCACGCGCTCTTCAGGTAGAAGTTGTGCCACACGATGCACATGAGCGCGAGGTTCCCGACGATGCCCGCCGCGAACAGCACGAGCGCGAGCAGCATGACCGCGTACGCCCAGTAGGAGCCGTTGGTGACCGGGAACAGCGGGTTGAGGAGCCCGTGGCCCGACGAAGAGTTACCCGGCGCGGCGGGCGGATCGATCCGCGGTGTGGTGAAGTAACCGCTCGGGTCCTCGTACCGCCTCGGTGTGTGCGGGTCTTTCTTCCCTAAGTTCCTATCTTTGGCTCCCCGGGCGACCCGCTTCAGGTCGGGAACTCCTGAACTCTCTTGAACCCGCTCCAGAGGCGTCCTTCCCTTTGTCCCCGCCGCCGGGGTGCCAGCATCCTCCGCCCGCTGCACCTCCAGCGCGGACTGAAACTCCCGGGCTGTGTGGGCATGACGGAGCTCCGCGGTCCGCAGAAAGAGGAGCAAAAGGCACAAAATGGGGCTCATGGTTGCCGTTGGACTAACTGCTCCGTGTTATGTGGCCCTTCCACAGACATGTGCTGCGACAAACATTTGACTCCTGAAATAAAAAATGTCCATTAACCGGTTCTTCCTCTGGTCCTGATGCAGAAGTTCTGACTCTGCTGCGCTCTTCAGCTCCTGTTACCCACCAACGGTCGGACCTTATATACCGCCAACCGTCCAACTGACGCAATACAGCACGGAGCGTCTTCCGGTTGGGAATTTCAAAATAATAGGAAACATAAACAAGAGATAAAGTGAAGCGTGTCAATCTGAGCATGGAGCGAATACAAAAGTTAACTGTTTCAATTTAGATGCTTTTTTTAGGTTATTTAGCTACTTTTACAACACTGTTTTGCATCTACACTTCATTGTATAAAACATTACACACATAAATAGTTGTCTTCAGTTTGTAAACGGAAGTAGCTCGTGTACAATTTCATTCACTGACAGTAACAGCAAAACACATCAGTTAAAGAAAGTCCAACCAGGCACCTGCCCCAGATCCACAGAGACCCCAGGCTCACTGCATTAGTTTGTGCTCATTTAACTGCACATTTATTTGGGAATAAGCACAAATAAAGTAAAAATTAACCACTGCACACTGGAATGACTTTACTGTGATTTTATTAGGAGCAAACAACAGGTTTGGTCTGCATTTTTTCTTTGAGGCTCTGTGTCAATATCTAGTTATAGTACTTTTATTTACTTTAATTGATAATAATAAACTTGGAAACCTGGGGCAGGCTAATACAGTATTGTATATGTGTAGTGGTTGTTTTGTGCACAGGACACAAGAATATTCCACAGAAATAAAGCTCAGCAACAACCCAGAAAAGCAGTCCACCCTTAAAATATAACATTTTATTAGAAGTCTGTTGTGTTTAATAGGTCTGCAACTAATACTCAATTTAATTCTTCTTCTTCTTCTTCTTATTATTATTATTATTACGAAGTAAACAGATCTTTTTTTAATCTTCCCTTACTGGTTATTTCTGGAGTGGTACGTCTCTTCTGACACCAAGTGTGGCATCTAAACTTAGAGTATCCTCTGTGTGTGTGTGTGTGTGTGTGTGTGTGTGTGGAGACTCTTATAATAAGCCACAGACAATGACATAACTATTTCTGAATGTGTAATGTGACCTCATTTTGTTTTATAGGGCTGATATATTATTATTGTCCACTACATTCTTAGATTTAACTATTTAAGATCAAACTAAGAAATACATTAAATTTCAGTGATTACTGGTAGAGAAAGCTCCAGAAAACAGCATTTAGCAGATAATCTGGAGAGACTTTTAAATAAAAACATTTGAACACTTCAATGAATTAGGTAAAAATTCAACATAACAGGCAGACGTGATTGTGGTGGCTTGGACCCACAACCTCAGTATTTATACTTTGTACATCCCTTTTATATCACTGAGTAATTGATTAGTTGATCAAAAGAAAATGAATTGCCAAACATTTTAATAGTCTTGTTTGACACCATGTCAGTGTCAAAGGTTTGATGCCTCGAGCTTCTCAAATGTGACAATTTCCTTCAGTTTCAGCCCTGGTAGAGACAACACAACACAAACTGCAGCCTCCAAAATGAACAAAGTTGAACCAACCCCTCTAAAAACTGAGCTTAATGAAGGGAGGATTTGTAGTATTCAGACTGCATTAGATTTATAGCCGGACATAATACAGCTAATTCACATTCAAATAAACAAAATCTCATTTCACTTTATTTCACAGTGCAAAGAGAAACTGAAACCTTCAGTCTCATTAGTTTGACTCCTGACTGACAGCTGTAGCACCAAAACTGAGACAGAAACAGGGTTGTTTTTTATTTATTTATTTTTTTTATATCAGAGTTTGGTCCCCTGTAGCTGTGGTTAGCTGCTGACCATCCAGAAGTTCATTTGCAGCACCGTTTCCATGGCAACAGATGAGAAAACCCAGCTCCGACCACAAAATATTTCTCAGCATTTACTACAAATAAAAAATAATCAGATATTTTCTGACGATCTTGAACTTTCACTCGATGTGTGCGTCTCTCCCGCCTGCTGACCGTTGAAATCAGGCACAAAATGGCACCAAGAGGGAGAAACAATCTGTCAGTTCCTGGTCCTGAAGTCCAAACCAGTGAGTGAAACACAGAGACTTCACTTCCCACAATCCTCAGCTCTTCTGGGAGGACTTCAGCTTCCTGCGGGCGTCCTTGTGTTTCTTGCGGTACTCCTGTGGAAAAGTTAAAGTAAGATAAAATAACTGGCATTAGCTAACTCAAGATGTGAGCACATATATGTCACAAGCCCAGCACAAAGCGTATGTAAGTAGGTACGGAGAAAGTTGACTGAAGTCCAGCTCAACTGTTACTGGAGCATGTTTAGTACTTGACAAAGGGAAGCATGATGAGACTCGTTCTGATAATGTATAGTGATAGTTAGTGTACCTGTCTGAGTGCGCTCCTCCTCTCCTCCCACTCCTCCCTCTGCTCCTCCAGCTGAGAGGAACGACAGAACAACCGGGGACCCTCTGATGGAGGGAGGAGAGAGAGAGAGAGAGAGAGAGAGAGAGAGAGAGAGAGAGAGAGGGTTCAAATCACATACAAGAACAACGCCTCATCAACTTACAGAAACAGTTCAACACGTTGGTTTCACAAACATCACTAAAATATATTTCAGATTTTAACCTGCAGCTAAAAACACCCAAAACATTTTCATGTTTCCCTCGAGGAACATACTATTTCATCATAACATAAATACTATATATGTATATATCGTTTTCCCCATTGTGGAATGCACTAAAACATTAATTTTCTCTACTTAAATGTATAAAAAATATCAAATAGGAAACCAGAAAACTTTATACACTTATATCTAAGTGTAATTCACTCTGGTCCGTTGCTTAATTTCCTTTTTTCTTTTTAATTTAATTGTTGCTTAAACTTTTGTTTCATTTTCAACAATATCTATTTTGTTGTGAGTAATTGATGGTTAAATGTACCCTTTTTATAAACTGGAAACATCCCTTCCTAAGGAGGTGTGATTCTTCTATGCGTTATTAACAAAGTTGGTTACAAAAAAAGTACAGTATAGCGCAGTCGGATTCTCTTTGCAGCGCTCCTTTTGAGTTCTCCTTCCACAGAGCTCAAGGAAAAGTGTTTTTGACTATTTGAACCAAATCACACAGTGTGACATCAGGCCTGAGGGCTGAGGTCTCTAATGGTGCAGGGAGAGACATCCTCATCCTACCTGTCAGTCTGCTGTCTTCAGGGTAGAAGAAGAACAGAGCCGGTTTTGAAGGAGTCTCCTCTCTGTGAACAGATAACACAATCATTCACACATTCAGATGACAACTGTCCGCTTCTGTAACAACACAATCACAGCTCTGGTGTTGAGGCCTCAGTACACTTCAAACAAACATTTGAGTTTCAGAAAGTTTTTTAAGTTTCTCAAACAATCTGACAAACACAACTTGTTATGTATGAGAAACAAAGTGCGACATCACAAATACCTTCAAGGAGAGAAAGATTTTAACGAGAACCAGTGAATGTTTGGCAACTTATCCTCAAACAAATATTTCATTAATCTATTTGTCGATCAACACAAAATTAAATCGGCCACTATTTTGATAATTGTTTAATCGTTTCAGTCATTTTTAAAGGATTCACTGTGGTCTTTTTTATAAGTTATACTTTAATTAATTATGTTTAATATTTGTTTTTTCTCTGATAAAACAAGGAATCTGAGGATGCCACTTTCACTATTTTCTCACATTTTATGGATAAAACAATTAAATCAATTATTTGAGAAAACACTCCGCAGTTTGTCGAAACTCTTTGACTTTAGATGTCAGACAACAAACAAACTGAGGCTTTACAAACACACACGGTCCAGTTAACAGAACTTCATCTCACTCTGTGGTAGCGACGATGGTGCTTTGCTCCTCATCTTCCTCCTGCTCTTCCTCCTCCTCCTCCTCGTCCTCCGAGCTGCTGTCATGGAAACGTGGGTCTTGTTGCCATGACACCTTTGGCGCCTGGATGCTCTCTACCTTGTACTCTGCTGGCAGAGAGAGAAGACGTAAAGATTTAAAACTGGGAGAAAACAAATCTTCCTTTTGACACTCAGTTAAATATCGGAGATCTGACTCACCCGTCTCTTTACTTCCTGTTTCTGTGTCGTCTTCAAAGAAGGAGAACTTGAACCCAGACGACTCCTCTTTCTCTGCGCCGGGATCAGCTGAGAGGAGAGACGACAGCGGGGTCGGCTCTTCATCCTTCCCTCCTTCCTCCGCTTTCTCCTCTTCCCCTTCTTGGTCCCAGTTCGCCTTCTCTTGTCCTCCGGTGTCGTCATCTTTAGTCTGACCGAACACGGCCTTTAGATCACCAGACACATCGTAGTAAATCTCCTTAGAAACCTCCGGAAGCTTCTGAGCCTCTTCCCTCTTCTTCCTCCTGGCCGCCTTGCTGTGAAGACAAAAGATCACGTGAGCTGATAATGTGGTCAGGATGAAGCTTGAGAACATTTTCATTGGTACTTCAGTGATTCTTCTATCTGAAGACTTTAAATCCAACTGAGTATGATACAATGCACATCAGTATATTCTTTATAATGTAGGTTGGGATATCTAGAACATATGAGTGGGTTTAAATCTGAACTGAAAATACTGTATCACTATCAATGATAATGTTTCTTCATCAGCCCTGTTAATATGTGGTGTGCCACAAGGCTCAATCCTGGGTCCCATCCTGTTCTCTGTATACAGTGGCTTGCATATTCAGAAAGCTTTACTTTTCTGGCACTTATTGTGTTTAATAGAGTTAGAATAGTTTTTGGCAATTCATTCTGCACAAAAGAAATGTAAAAAACTAAAAATAAAATGAAAAAATTAAAAAAATTAAATTAAATACGACTGAAAAAAATAGCATATATATTTCAGTAATGTTTCTAAAAGGTAGTTTTAGAAAAAAAAATTAGACCTTTTAAAGGTTTACATCTTGAGTATAATTCAGTGGGTTTGGGGCTGAGTGGAACGTTTTGAGAGACGTACTTTTCATGGAATTTGTTCACAACAAAAAGAATTGAACATTGTCTTAACCTTTAATGTGCATTGTCAAGTCTTATCTGGTGAATAAGTTCAGTATTGATGCTGAAACCGACTCAACAGATTGGATCGGTGCATTCATAGTTTTCCGCGTTCGTACCTTTCTTTGATTTCATTGGTTTTGGTCTCAAACGCAGCGTGTTCCTCTCTGCTGGGGTCATAATGCAGCGCTGAGACGTCTCTGCAAACACACACAAACACACACATTTGATTATTATTCTTTATTTATTTATTTATTTATTATGTGTTCCAGTTCAGAAGTGGCTACGGTCTAGACTCTGTGCATTTGTGAGAGTGTGAGGCTGACCTGAAGGTCTTGGCCTTGCTGGCTGGCTTGCTGCTGCAGGTTTGTTGGCTGCTCCCAAGGACGCTCTGCAGGATGGACAGGTTCTTCTTCCTCTCCTCCTCCAGAGTCTCGTCATCCTCCGTCACGCTCATCTTTCTCTCTGAATCACAAACAGTCGCCTTATTTGTCAGGAAGAGATTCTCACAGGTTTCATTTCAGTGCAAGAACTTAAAAAACATCCAGCAGGACAAAACACAGCGTACACCACAAAGAGCAACTCACACAGACAGGCAAAGAGGATGTGAATGTAACTATACGTGCTTTGTAATGAGATAAATACAAATGTAAGTTGTGTGAGTGAAACGTACAAGCACAATTATATTCATCCATTCATGAAAAAATGTGTCCTGAAAATTAACCATTGTAGTTAAAACAACAAGTTAAAACAAGAGCTGTCTGTATGTTAGGAATTCTTTATAAAAATATCCCCAAAAAAAAGTCCTGTCTCCTACAGCTTAATGACAATTCTATCTTCTTCCGCCAAAGAATTGAAGAAGTACCCCCCCACCAACCCACAGCCTCACCTGACTCCTCCTCTTTGTCCTCGTCGTCCTCCAGGAAGCGTGAGTCCAGCCGGAAACGCTCGTCTGTCCCGAAGCGAGACTGCAGCGCCATCAGCTGGAAACACCACAAACAAACACACAAACAAACAAACATCAGAGGCAGGCAGGCGTCCAATCACAGCGCTCAGCTCCTCCATCACGATATCTTCAGACATGTACAGTTTCCACAGAATGAACTCTGGTGACTTTGCTGATCCTCTGACTTTAAGCACCTTTAGCTTTTTCTTAAAGGTCAAATCATTTCAGTTCTACACAACGTGAGGCTCTTTTCTTTCGTCCTTGGGACACGATGTGATCCAGACTTTAAATGGTGGGAATCGTGGATTTGAATGTTACACATTAATATATATAATTATAAAACAATGTACAGAGCAGCACTGTGTGAACTCCTTTTCTCACCTTCTCTCCTGCTCGACCTTCAAACTGAGGCCTGATGTCAAACCTGCTGCCATCCTCCTCTTCGTTATCCTCCTCCTCCTCCTCCTCCTCACTGCCGTTGAACAGCTGAGGAACTGATGGCTTCAGACGCACCTGACCCCACACACACAAACATCATCCATAAAAATCTTCCATCTATTCATAATAATAATAATAATAATAATAATAATAATAATGAGTAAATGCAGGTAGTTACATACATTCACAGGTAGACTAACTGATATATAATATATAATTGATTAGTAACTCTTCCTCACCTTTTCTTTCATTGTGCCGTTCCGATTGGCTGATGCTTTGTCACCTGTGGCCTCGTCCTCTGATTGGCTGTCCTCGAACAGCGTCTTCTTTGACGTTGTGACCTCTGAGGTCGTCTGCTGCTCCTCTTCGTCATCCTCGTCATCATCAGAGCCAAAGACGATGTGTTTCCCTGCTCCTGCAGTTGGAGCGTCCTAAAGCAGATTCATATTCTGTGTTAAACACGACTGCAGATGGAGCCGTACGTGACAACAAGTACTAACAAGTAGTCAGTAGAGCTAAAAGAAATGTGACACACACAGAGATCTCTGGTTGATCCCCTGTCAACACATAACAACTGGCCAATGAGAGGTTTTAATGAATCATTCTAATGCAAACCTAATAAATCTGATTTGTTTCTTCCAATTTATTTGAAAAGTCAGTTCCTAGTTAAATAAAGGTTATATACAATAATGTGTCAGTTATTCATTTATGATAATTAAACATAGTCAAAGTCTAACATTGTTCCGTTGGCACAATCCAGACCCCACAGCCCTCAAAACTGAACCTAGTGTAACCTCAAACAGCCGTTTCAAGGAGAGAGGAATGGACACAATGTCTTCTCTTCCCAAACACTGACAGTCTGATCTGATCCCCACAAACACTGAACACATTCTGCACTCACCAGCTTGGCTAAAGCTCCCTGGATCAGCTTCTTGTGCTCTTCAGCCTCCTTCTGTCTCTGCTGGACGGCAGCAAGCCTTCTCAAGTTGGCCTGCCTCTGCCGCTCCTCTTCCTCCTTAGCTCCTAACGGCACTCGAGGAGGAGCCCGCTTTTCTTCCTCTTCCTCCTCCTCCTCCTCCTCCTCACTGGAAGAGGACTCACTGGAAGAGGACTCGCTGTGAGGAGCAGGGCGAGGTGCTGCTTTCACAGCATCTTTAGCAGTGGAGGAGCTGGAGGATGAAGGTAAAGCCATTGCTGAAGCTTTAGCTGTAGGAACAGTCTGATTGGGCTTCATCCTTTCCTCCTCCTCCTCCTCCTCCTCCTCCTCATCATCATCATCATCATCAGCGCTGCTAGAGGAGGAATCAGTCTCAGCTTTAACTGTAACTTTAGCAGTAGCAGCCACGTTTTTCACCGCCGCCTCCTTTTTACCCTCCTCTTCCCCCTCTTCCTCATCTTCTTCCTCCTCCTCCTCCTCATCATCTTCTTCATCTTCTTCGTCCTCGCTGCTCTCTGAGGTCTCCTCTCTTTCTGTGTGTTTCTGTGCACTCAGAGTCCTGCTGCTTTTGCTGTCTGTTGCTTTGTGGTTCAGCTGAGGAGCTTCAGAGTCCAGCTTCTGTTTTTTAACCTCACTTCCCTCCTCCTCCTCCTCCTCTTCCTCTTTCCGGCTCCTCTGACTCTCCTCCGTCTCTAATCCCTCGTTCACTGCTCTCGTACCCTGGAATGCCGGCAGCGTTGACGTGACGACTTTTCTTTTCTTCTTTTTCTTCTTTTTCTTCTGTTCGTCCTCGCTGCTGTCGTCCTCCATGAGGGCGGCGAGGATCTCCTCCGGCGTGGTGCCTTTCTTTGGCGTCGGTCGTTCAGCCAGAGCGGACGTGAGCTTAGTTTCTTCCTCGGTTGTTGAGGCCTGCTGGGATTCTTCAGCTAGCTTCTGCAGATCCGCCAGGGAGATCTCCAGACGGGTGACGTTGGAAAACATGGCGTCATAGTCAGAATCTGAACTGGAATCGGCTGATTCTAACTCCTCCTCGTCTTCATCACCGTCATCATCCTCATCACTATCTGATTCTGAATCTGATTTTTCAACAGGAAGGGCTGTCTTCTTCTTACTTTGGCTTTGAGAACCCCTGGGCAGTGTGGAGGAGGGTTTCCTGGAGGTGAGGTGCTCTTCATCCTCTGAATCCTCCTCTTCCTCTTCAGCTTTACTTTTCGTCTTTGTCTTTCTCTTCCTCTTCCGGTCTGTGTCGTTTCCTGACTGGTGCTCTGCAGTGGGGGGAGTCAGTCTCTCCCGCGGTGGAGGAGGCGGTTTCTTGGAGGCGAGGAGTTCATCCGTGTCCGCCGAGTCGTAGTCGTTCTCTTCTTCATCATCTGCAATCCAAAAGCGACATATTTACAGCAAACAAACAAAAGGAGCGTTTGTCTGATCACTGGATACATCCTGAGCTTCAGGCACTAAATCTGATTTTAAGTTCTTATTCTATGAGCTTATTTTCATTGTCCTACACATAATTCTTACTGGTTATTATTGCAGATAGATCAATAAATCAACCTGGATGATATATAGGCCAATATTAGCTTATCACAGCTGTACTGTATTGTTCGAAAGCTTTAGATTAGAGAAAGCCAACAGAATTAAAAATACTTAATAGGAAATATATTCTACAGCTTCTATAACTAGTTGTACCTGTCCAGTCTCAGTTACCTTTCTGGTGCTGACGGGAACGTCCGGACTTCACCAAGTAGTCGAGTCCGACCACTTCCAGGTTATCCTCGTCCTCTTCCTGCCCCAGTGCAGCGTGGGAGGTGTTCTGAGATGCTACTATTCTGCAGATTTCCTCGTCTGAATCAATATCGCTGTCAGCCCTTCTCCTCTGAGCCGGTCTGTGGTTGGTCGGTCGTTCATTTCCGTTGGTGAACTGATGAGCCTCAGTGTGATCGACAGAGACAACAGTCTGCTTAAGTCTAAGAAGAGGACAACAGGGAGGAGATGACAGTGTTTAATTTTGATTTTAAAAAGAATTGTTCAAATTTAAAAAGGAACTTCAAATTAGAAATACAGACAAAGTAATCAGGAATTTACCTAAAAAACACACGTAAAAGTCACCAAATTCTAGACTCGAGTCAACGTCTCTGGTAATTATGCTGGATTTTCCCCATCTTCAACTAAATATACACAAAAATATTTGGGTCTGATGAATCAAAAACCAAAGAAATTCATAAGTTTCTGTATTAAATGTAACATTTTTGATCTTGAGAATCATAGAAACCACTTCAAACGTCTATCAAAGTAATCAGTGGGAGCATTTGGGAATTAAACAAACCAGTAGAAACTGAGAATCCCAGAAACAAGGTGGACCTTTTGGTAAACTGAAATCAGGAATACCTTCTGGGTATTGAGTAAGGACTGATAAGAATTCCAAAAACAGATTTGGAAATGTGCAATACCTGAAACCAGCAGGGATTACAGATAACAGAAAGGAACATTTGGGAATCCAGTAAACAAGCAGGCACCTTTGAAAAGAACTTAAGAAAATATGGAATGTCAGGAACTAACTGGGACAGAGAATCCCAGAAATCACTAGGTGGTTTAGGAAATCCAAGAAATTTGTAGGAAATTTTATATTCTTTTATAACCCCACGAGCTAGTTGGAACTTTTGAGAATCCCTGAGAAAAATATGAAATCCTAGAAACCAGCAGGGATTCTGAAGAGCTCAGAAACCAGTGCAAAGTTTTGGGAATCCCAGAATCCAACAAGGTTAACCTGTAAAAACCTTTAGGAATGCTAAAGATCAGTAAACTTTGAGAATCCAAGGAACCAAATTCCAGAGAATTCTACATACTACTAGGAAATTGGGAGGAAACCGGGCCTCGGAAAGTGGGAAGTTACAGAAACCAGCAGGAACCTTTAAGTTACCTGGTTCTGCCCAAATCATTCTGGGAGTTGACCGTATCTGTCCGACTCTTCTTGGGTCTTGAAGGCTCAAAAGGAGGAAACTCTCCGCGCCTCTTCTTGCTGATGTCATCATCCCCTCCCGGTACCTCCCAGGTGAGCTGGGTGACAGGTGTGGGCTCGTCTGCGGCGGCGGTTCGGTCCAGCTTGCGGATGTTGTGGCTGTATTTGGACGGGTCGTACTTCAGGGTTCGAGCTTTGCTGCCTTTCTTACACCGGAGCTGCATGACGGGGAGGACTCGTCCGAATTTACTGACCACCCAGTCCTGAAACCAGAGCACCCAGAAGACAGTCAACACCTCTCCTGATGCTGCTCGTCACATACAGATGATTAGTTCTCTAATAGTGGAGAGAACCAGAACTTTTATTGTTTAATATTGTTAGCAGATTGTTGATTATGACTCAACCAAATGACGGATTAGTGCTGCGAGAATGTATATTACACTGAATTTATCAAGAAATGCCAAAGGTATGTTTGAGGTCATTAAGAAAACATTGTCTCCATTACATAATTTGTCCATCAGAGAGCACTGGCTTTACTTTCAAATACTAATATTGTATCAGCCACACACACACACACACACACACACACACACACACACACACACACACACACATTCAAACAGGAGGCGGCAGACGACTATATTACTCGACCTTGTGTCCTGGTATTTCGGTCCCGGGCACCGCAGCCTTCATGGTGAAGTTTTCCACGCCGGCTCCGCTGAGGGAATCCAGCATCTTCTGTCTCGTATCCTCAGCTGCAGGCTGCTGGAGGCGCTGCTCCTCTGCCTCCTGTCGCTCCTCAGCCAGTCTAACACACAAATACCACAAACTTAAACGATCTATCATTGATCCGTGCGTGGATCAAGAAAGTGGAATATTTTCCGTACATGCTGTAAAGAGCCACTCCCTCAAGAATCACAAGAATGTGTTTGAATGTGAAGAGCCCAGAACTTAAACAGAAAACAATTTATCTATTAATCAAGAACATAATCTGAAGAAGAGTCAGAAAAGAAAATAACTGTTAGCTGCAGCCCTAATATGTCAACTTCCTCTCGCTCTATAGCAATGTTTAATGTGTTCATATTCGACTGTCCAAAGACTTTCATGTTGAGGTGAACGTGACTGTACCTGTGCAGGAAACTCTCCTTGGCTGTTTCAATCTGCAGAGTTCCTCCTTTCCATTTGGATTTGTTCAACACCGTCAAACCTGCAGAGGACACACATCGATTCAAAACGAGCTCTGGTGTAAGTTAGACTTGAAGGCTTAATGACAACAAATGACGTGTTCAGCTCGAGTGTTGTTGCGGTTTGACAGCGGAGGAGTCCCACTCGCAGTCTGAATGAACATCAGTTACACAGAACATTAGGAAGCTGTTGGAGCAGCTCAGTTCACTCACATTTCTTCAGGTCTGCGTCTGAAATGTTGATGTTAATGTAGCCGAAGGTTTTGTAAGGAATACCTGCAGGAGAACAACAAGAGTCAGAACACATGCAGAGTCACCGAAGAGGATCTCACAACAACAGATTCTAGAAAATCTGCCTAAAGATGTTTCTGTTCACTACACAATGATAATAGTAATTTGGATTGTCACATTTAAATAAAACTCATGTCTCATGAGTGCGTGTTGGATTCCTCACCCTCCTCGTCCCTCCTGGTCCGGAGCTCCACGTCCTCCACATCTCCAAACTTTCCGAATCGATCCTTCAGATCTTTCTGGGTCACCGTGTGGCTCAACCCGCCGATGTACAGCCGCCGCATCGCTCCGTATCAACGACAACACGGTCACTGCACAGACAACAAACACCAGGGTCAGCCATCTAACTCTATCCTGTAATGAAGGAAATCTTCCTCTTCCGTCCGGTCGTCAGAAGATCATGCATCAGTGCTGCAGTATCTGCTCCTCAGCAGTGCCACAACTGTTTGATTCATCAATGATTAGTTGATCGACCAGAAAATTTACTCCATGATAATTTAGATAATAGATTAACTGTCATATCTAACTTTGACATTTAACTTTACTTCAACTTCAACCTTTGTCACATTTCCTCTTCTTTGTTTTAGACACCAAAGACATTTTAAAACAGATATATTCTAAATATTTTATAGGTTCTGGGCTTTTGCAGTACTTCTGTTCCCTAACTATGTTTAATGGGGCAGTTTTGCAGAATATTGGGTGAAAACCTGATTCTAATTTTAGGTGTTTGGACAAAAAAACCCAACAAAAGTCCAGGAGTCATTAATTTATTCAGGGTTTTTTTTTTTTTGTATTACAGAGATTCCTAACTGGTGACAGCTTCAGGAATCATCATTGAAACTTGCACAGGAGTGTAGGTTTACTCTCTATCAGGTAGAAGAGATCTGCACTCTTTATATCTATAAAACCTTTGTAAGTGTTGATTAAACGACATCTCTTAAATTACCAAAGAATTAATAAATAAATAAAAACAAAAACTGAACATTACAACCTTAATGTAGGTAGGGTATATTGCTGTTAGAGTACTTTACCTCCAGCTCGTTGGATATAATGTGATATAATATATAATCTAATGTGAGAAGATTTCAGTAAAGTAAAATATGAGTAAATAAAACAAAACGGACATAATGTTTAACTTATAACGGAGCTGAAAGAGTTACCGGGATTAAACTACCGGTTTAATTTCTACAGACAGAAAAAAACCAACAAATGTTTACCTCACATGTATCCAGCTTGTGTTACCGTTAACTCCGTCCGGGGTTGTGGCTGCTGTGTCCGACTTTCCCTTCCGCTGTTGTTTCCGTAGATGCTGAAGCGTTCCGCTCCGGTTTAATTACGGGTGAGATTCAACAACCGCTTTAGACAAACACAAAAGAAAGGAATAATGCCTTTTATCGATGAGAATGTTTAATTATGACGGCTAATCAATGGATAAATTACATTTATTTTCTTCTGATTACCTTAAAAACACGATTTCTAACGTGTGGGACAGACCATTGAGGTGACTCTCACAATTTCCAACTCAGACAGAATTTTATTTAGTGCCTCTTAGCTCTGATAAAGCGCTACTGTATACTTTTGAGCACATTTCTAAAAACATTTGCGGCACTTGTATCCACAGAGAGGAACATCGTCTGACCCCTTCTCACATAAACGGTTGTCCTCCCCCCTCTGACACGTAGAGAAAGTGGTACAGTCCAGAGGGCGCGAAGCTCTGAACTGTTTTGGTTGTCATGGAGAAGAAACGAGAGAGGTGAAGAAACGTGTTTTGTTTTTACTATTAAACGAATAAAACTCTTTTATACGAGTGGTTTTAGTACTTTAAAGTAACTTTTATTAAATAATTAGATATTTTAACGTAGTCGAATACGGTAAGTTTACTTTATTAGACATGACAGCTCGTCTGACTTCACCCAGCTAGTGTAATGTTTGTGCTAAAAGTCATTTTAATTAATTAAGTTAACGTTATTTTAACTAGCGATGTTACTAAGTTGTTTACTGTTAATAAGTGAACTCAAGTTGACGCTTTTGACAACATATTTCTTTAACAATTTAAGCGCTTTGAGGGGATGTTATAATATAAAAAAAACGGCCTCTCTATAAGTTTATCTACCAGAGTAATATCACAACCTTAGTGCTGCACAGTTAATAGAAATATGGAAATATAAGTGCAATATGCAAATCCCACAAGCTTCAATGTTTTGAAAACCGCATTATAATGAAGTACTGTAGTGCTGCAAATATGTCCTGGTCGGCAAATCTTTAATTTAATAGTTTTTTTTGTTGCAAATTACATTTGTGATGCAAAAATTATAATCCCCACACTTATCGTGAACCATATCGTAATATCTGTCAAAAATAATCGCAATATGATGTTTTTACCATATCGTGCAGTCCTTCTTTTAATGCTTGTTTATGTTAACTAACTGTAAAAAAAGGTTGTCAGTAACCTAATCCAAGAATCACAATATTAAAGTAACGTAACTTGATTACTTTCTGTTACTTTTGGATTACCTCTCCACTAAATATAATAAAAGCAAGAGATCAAGTATCAATGTATTCAATAAGACAACAGAATAATGTAACCTTTGCTGCCCTCTTCACCCATTGAAACTTCCAAATGTTTATTTATTTTATTGAAGTCAGTGTTTGTGCTTCAGGATGGAGGAGATGAGTGAAGAGAACATCGAGGAGGTGAGGGTGCTGGAGGCTCAGATCGAGCGTCTCCAGGCTGAAGTTTCAGCGTTGCAGTGCCAACAGCAGGAAAACCACAAGGACATAACGTTTAACCTCCGAGGACAAATGCAGAATGCCATGTGAGTTTCATTTTTCATTCAACATTCATTCTTAAATCTCTAGCGCGACTTCTTTCAGTGTTCATCCTGTAGCATTTTCATTCTGTAACGTTCAACTTTACCTCTTAAAATGTCGTTTTTCCTGTTGAACTTAAACTAAAAACTAGAAAACCGTAAACAGACGTGCTGAACTGTCACGACAGTAAATGATCAGTGTGTTGGGGCGTCTCCACAGGTCGTATGTGTGTGGACAGAGACAAGGAGGAGGGAAGGAGAAGGTGCTGTCCAAGCTGAAGGAGGAGGTGGAGGAGTTGGAGGAGGACCTGAAGCGGCAGACTCAGATGAATGGCATCAGTCTGAACAGCTGCACCAAAAAGACTCTCCAAAGCGGTAAGATCACAGCACCGTCTGAATCCACACATATCTCTGTTTTATCTGACATATCTGACATTTTATAAATTAAGTGAGTCATCAAAATCAGGCAAATAACCAACTAATAGATCAAAATAATCTGTACCTGCAACCTTAAAAATTTGATTTTAAAGGTACCCTGTGGCAGTGAAATCACATCCTATTGGTTTCACATCATTTCACTATGACTGAACAGTTAATGCACCAGAGAAGAATAGTACTGCTACAATATATGGATGTTAGAGTTTACAACGTATAAACCACATTTTTGTTTGTTTACAAGAAAACTCCACAGAGTATGGGTCCCTCATGATGTTATATTGCACTTATACTGGTGTGTGTGTGTGTGTGTGTGTGTGTGTGTGTGTGTGTGTGTGCTAGGTGGCAGTAAGCTGGTCCAGAAGTTCCTTTTATCAGGTCACTGCTCTGAACTGGTGTTTCAGGTGGAGTTCCAGCTGTCTGAGGTCAAGGTGAGTCATTTCATTTTTCAAATAACCTTCTGAAGAGACAGAGGGTTTCTGGTTCACACCCCACTGTTGGTTGGTAACAATGCTGCCTCCCTCTGTCACCCCTGACAAATGGAGTTGGTTAATTGGTGCTTTTAGCCTTTTGAATGTATTGAGACACCATGCTTAAGTTAAAGTGAGATCAGTTAAATGTCTTCAGGAAATGTTGCCTTTTCCAGTTTCCATATTTATGTAATCTAATCTCAAGTTGAAGTTTGTGGACTGTAGTTTTTTCATTTTCTCAAGACTGATAAACCGTTCGTCCAGCTTCTCCTTTGATTTCTTTATGTCATTTTCAACTAACTTTATCTCCATCTCACAGTACCAATCCAGTATCAACTAAACAAATTCTCCTTTCTTTCTGCTCTTTGTAATACGTTATGTAAACTGTTCCAGTAACTGGGCCAATATACTCATGATCACAGATATCAGTTATCACCCTCAAAAGTCCAATATCAGTTGTCATCAACTCCAGCCAAAAACTCAAATCTCAATAAAAGATTGTAAAAGTATTAGTAAAAGCTGTAGATTAAACTCAACAGCAGTGTAGAAGAGCCCTGCATATGTTGGATGTAGTGTGAATAAAAACACATTAAAGCATTCACACACTTTGCTTATGCACAATTTACTGACTAAACTTTTAGTCCAGCAAAGATCGATGGTGCTATCATTTCTTTTTCAGCAGAGGGCGACAGAGGGCCACGTTCAGTAGTTCACTGAGGGGGAATCATACAGTTCCTCTGACCTCAAGCAGCTGTCAGACATGCAACACATTAGAGAATGAAGAAAAATCACTGTCAGGTTTTAACTGTCAACCAATCAGAGAACTGCCTCAGAGGAAGAAACACTGTCAGGTGAAAATAAAATAAAATAAAAGCAATCTTTTGTAATTTATGGTAAGTCCAAAAATAAGTGAAAGTTCAGATTAGAGAGCTCTCTTAGACATGTTACATGTCCCTTTGTATTTTATGCACAAGAAATATGTCAAAACTTTCTTCCAGGTCGAAGTTGGTATTCTTTTATTTGATTATATGGCTGAGTTTCAGTAAGGATCCATACCTTACTTTGAGTAATTTACATGTTTTTTTCATTAAATGTCGTCTAAACACGAGAAGCCGTACACAATCTCAAAATAAAATACAGTCTACAACAACTGGAAAAACTGTGATTTGAATTGGGAACTATCGGGGCTCTCTGGCAGCCCATATCCCCTCTCTCCCTCCCCCCCTTTACTGTCAATCATCAGCCCCATAAAATATATCTGATTAAATTTTACTTTCAATATTATTAATCCGACCACATTTGTGATGCCAACTTTCAGTGCTTGAGAGTTTTTGATACTCAGACACAATTTGGTCTTTACCAACAAGTATTGGGGTTCAATACGCAGCTCTACCTCCAGGCCTGTTAGAGGCACAGTTTGACCCTTGACAGCCAATACTGTATATGTAAAGTGAACAGTAATTGTAATTTTATTGTACAGAGATTCTGTATTATTGTGATCTGTAATCCTGCTTCATGTTGGTCCAACAGTCTTCTGGTTTTCATTCTAACTGGACTAACCCCCAGAACAGCTGGTTTCATTGACTCACCGCTGCCTGGCTCATGATATGTTGTTAAAATTCTAGTTTTTTCCTAACATATGAACTTGTTTTGATAAAGGCATTAATTATTTGGCTGTGTGATTTGGCAACAGTCATTCTGTAAACATGCACTCTCTTCTTACCCTTTATTATAGTTTGATTAATGCTTACTTTTTATGTTGCAACATAATGTAAGCTAGTACAACTTCCAGTAACCGTAAAAGTGTTTTGTTAGTGTTGTAACCCATTTGAGACAGTTCACAGATATGATTTATAGCTCCCCAAATATGGAACAGCTTTCTACTTAGCATTGAGATGGATGTTTAACGCAAAACATTTTGTGGAAACGTGCTTATTGTCTTTGTTCCTTGATACGAACAATTTCAGTTTTGGATACGGATCTGGAGCCTAGCTTAGTTTACCATAAAGACTGGAAGCAGTGGGAAACAGCTAGCCTGGCTCTGTCCCAAAAAAAAAAAAAAGAATACACCTTCCAACACTAAAGACACTCTAATTAACATGTTGTATCGTGTTTGTTTAATCAGTAAACAAATAGACATGTAAAAACCACAGTTTGTGATAATGTGCTGGAATTACACTAAGTTTATTAGGAACACGGGTTCCCACGAGTCTTGGAAAACCTGGAAAAGCTGAAACTTAGAGAGTAGTTTCCAGTCGTGGAAACACCTGTAAATTGATTATTATGACCAAATACCTTGGAAATAATCCATGTTGTCTTGGAAATGTTTGTATTTTATTCAGTTCGCCTACGTAGATCTAGGTGTGTATTTAGTTTGAAACTCGACTGTTGTTGGGATAAACTGTATGATACTTGAAACACACTTGCAGTGATCTTCTTGGAATCGACAGCTGTGAGCAAAATTCTCGTATCTACATGCATACAGCATCAAATGTCTTGTTGCTGTGGTTGATAAATACATGCACAGTGTATACAGTTAATTGTATGTTTGATGGACCCTGGGAACACCTAACTAAAACTAATGCAGTCTAAAACAACAGTCCTGAAATAAATCCTCCCTTCATGAAGGTCGTAAGGCTCAGTTTATGTTGAAACTGTTTCAGAGAGGTGTTGATTCAACTTGATGATCATTTTGAAGGATGTAGTTTTTAGTGCTGTTGAACTGACTCAGATCTCTGAACTCAGATAATGCAAACACACTGGATCCCAGACAGGAAAAGGCTTTGTTTGTTAACACATTATCATGCATCGCTGCTCTGTGACTCAGTATTTTGTTGTGAGTAATTAGTGGTGTGTCTGTCTTGCAGGAGGGTCAGGGATCTGAGAGGACAATCAGCGATCTGAATGTGGTGATGGACGCCGGTGACCTGCAGAACTTCAGCGGTTTCCTGTCTGGGTAAGAATCAAAACTGCAGATTGATGTTAGGCTGATCTGAAAAAGTCGCTTGTTGTCGCAAGTATCTGAAATGAACCTTTTTTCAGTAAACTTTTGGTTTGGTGATTAGATTAATCAATCAGAACCAGTTTAATAAACTTGCATTGTCAATCTCCAGTGTACACTAAAGGTACAGTCTTCAGTTCAATGAACTACACTATATGGCCAAAAGTATGTGGACAGTCCTGTCTATTTTCTGTTTCAACATGATGCCCACGCATAAGTCTGTAAAGAAAATAGTTTTCCCAGTTTAGTGTGGAAGATTGACCTCCACAGAGCCTTGATCTCAAACCTATCCAACACTTTTGGGATGAAGTGGAACTGTTAGCCGGGCCATATCAAACAAAATCAGTGTTTGACCTCACTAATACTCTTGTGGCTGAATGGGAGCCAATCCCTGCAGCCAGGTGCCAAAATCTGGTTGACCTCCTCAAACCTGAAGAGAATGCCCCTGGTTTCTGGAATCACACGTTCAGCTATCACATATGGATGTAATGTTCAGATGTCCACACACTTTTGGCCATCTGGTGTATCTTCACATGAGTCAGCAGCCAGAGGAATAGTCTGTTAAACTGAAGATCATCAAACGGGAATCAGCTATCAGATTGGAGTTGACTTTAAAGAAATAATGGGTGCATTAGGACTGACACACAGTCAGTGTGCTATTTATTTACACTGTCTTTCTGCTCAGGCCAGCTCTACATATTTAATACTGGATATTACTCCTGTCACGGAGAAGCTGTCTGTTTAGTTTAGCTGAAGTGTTTATTAAAGTAGAATAAGATGTCAATCTGCAAGCGGCTGTTGTCCAGCTGAACATCCTCTCCCACACATCCACTTGTTCTCACCGTCTGCTCTTTACTAACAAACAACAAGCCTTTCTCACGGCAGACATTTTGACCTGTCAAACACAGGTGTAACTCATTACGTCCCGGTGGCTGCATTCCATTTAGGTGTGCTGGCTTACTGGCACACCCACCTGTAAATGGAGCACAGCCATAATATTAGTTACACCTGTTAAAAATATCTGGTCTGAATCTGTTTCTTTTTCTACCAGGTGCGTTTTACACAGCAGGGAAATATATTCATCAAGTATGATTATGTGATCAAAGCCAGTGGGTTAAAAAAGACTTTCAGCACCAACGTTTTTTGAAAAAAACCTTTTTTAAATGAGCGTGTCGTAAAGTTAGTTGAACTTCTATCAGCTACCCAGCTTTCACTGTGGTCTGGCTGCCACATATTTTATTTGTCATTGATTCCCTGTTTCTAAATAACCTCAAACATACAGTATCAATTTACACTGACACTGATATATCTGATATAGCATCAAATTGAACAACATTACATTATCATTTATTAACCCATAATAAGACAATCTTACACAAGTTGGCTTAGCATCACACACTGCACACTTTGTCACACAACTGTCATGTTTTATTTGTTTCATTTGGTTTAAAGGCTCCGATAACCAGTTTTCTCAGTAAGCCTTTTATGATAATGGGGTCGTATGTGGATGCACAATATTCAGATCCAAACAATTACATACACTCTGTTTTTGAGCAGAAAAAGCTTTTTTTTTTTTTTTTTTTAAATAATGAATATGAATATTGTTGGAAAACATCTGTACTAACCACAATCGATGTGATTATTTGTACAGTGGAAAAGACAATAATTTAGTTTGTAGATCCTCTTTAAAGTCGTGAAGAAATACTAGTAGTAAAGATTTGAAACCAAGCTGTCAGGGGCTTTAAAGGAGCCTTGAACAGAATTAAAGCATTTGCCAAATGACATTTGTTCTCTTTGTCTTTTACATTGTAGATGCTCCTTTTGTACTCTTTAAAAATATATTCATAAAGTTTTAAACTAGACTCCATATTGTGATGGGAGCACACAAACCGCAACGTCCGTCAACATGAGTGCTCAGTAGGTAGTCAATTACTACATTATTATGTGAGTAATACACTACATACTGCTACAGTAGGCATCTACACACACACGCACACACACGCACAGACTCTGACTCACAAGGTGAAAACACTACCAGGCACACACTGTTGTGACTGGTTTAAAAAAAAAAAAAAAAAAAGAAGAAGCTGAATCTTTCAAGAGAGAATCACTATGAGTCGAGGGCAGCACGATTATGGCCCGAATGATGATCATGATTATTTTGATCAATACTGAGATCATGATTATTTCACGATTGAATCTGCAGTAATAGGAAATGTTGGGTTTTCGTTAGCAGTGACTTAATACAGCATTTGGTCCAGTAATAAAAGTATCCAGGCTGCCGCTGCAGGGTTTGTGTGTGTGCAGCGACAGGACAGCTCCCCAAAAGTGAAACCAGTTTTTGGCTGTTAGTTTAGGAAGTGCTTGATTTGACATGCTTTTCTATGAGCCGAGCACAAATTTCAAACATCAGTATCGTAGACAATCATTTAATTGTGGGAAGCCAAAATCGTGTTTAATATTCGATTTATTGTGCAGCCCTATATGCATTAAAGAATTAATACAACATCTCACCATGCTGTCTATTCCAGTAGCCTTCACTTGTGTCAGCTCTGGTTATTGTTTTAATAATGCAACAGAGCAGTTCGCCTTGAATCTGCGATGAGCTCCAGTCTCACTCCTGCTGATGTTTTCACCTGAGCATCAGGAGCAGCTGCTTTGTTCTTGACCCCAGGTAGAGCAAAGTGACGCTCTCTCAGTTGTGTTTAAATTTAACAAAATGTGTATACGCGTTGTGTTTACGTGTTCAGGTGCATTAACGGTCTTGAAAACCAGAGCCTGCCAGAAAGCGTCTGTTCTGTCAGTGTATCAGCGCCACAACGTGCTGAAAGCAGAAGGCTGATTTGCTCTATATCTGAAGCCAAACCACATCTGGATTGTATGGTCCAGTCTGCAGAATCTGGCAAACAACAGATGGAAAAATACTGGAGATAATGATTCTGACACACTGCTGCCTTGTGTGTGTGTGTGTGTGTGTGTGTGTGTGTGTCTCTGTGTGTGTCTCTGTGTGTGTCTCTGTGTGTGTCTCTGTGTGTGTGTCTGTGTGTGTGTCTCTGTGTGTGTCCGTGTGTGTGTGTGTCTGTGTGTGTGTGTGAGAGAGTGTCATAGTTTTACAGTGCAAATCAGACTGATAATCTTTGTTAAATCGAGCTGGTCTGAATTGTTAACTATAATCGCTGACATTGTGATTTTTATTTGTTATTTTTATTCAGCAGACACATTTTGTTCCACATCTGTCCTCCCGTCTCCCTGAAGTGGTTTCTTAACTTTGTTAGTATTCAGAGGAACACTGTGGCTGCACAGGCTGCAGAGTAAAAGCAGCATGTGGTCAATTCAGCTTCAGTCAGTGTCACACTAGTGATCCTTTGCAATTGATCCAGTTAACATTTGATTTGCTATTTCATCTTCAATCGCCTGACAACAGAAGAATTTGTAAATGAGCTGTTTTAACACACAGTATATGTGATTATATAGAGAGTAACGTGACTGGAAACACTAGTATGGACGCACAGCGTTTGATATTTTGATATTTTGACATTTTCAAAAGTTAAATATCTTAGTGTAGATGAGGCCTCACTTTTATCCAACTGTTTATTAGATGAACGATTGAAAATCCACAAAAAAAAGCCCAACAGTCAGCAGGTGATTGAAAGGCTGTTGATGCAATGCATTGTGGGATGGACTTAGAGGGCACAAATCAGACTGGATTTTGTCAAACCTCCTTACTTCAGCCATTAAAACACAGCACTGCTCTTTTGAGCATCCTAGCCATCTGATCAATGAACCATTTTCACTCCCGGCCTGCAGTTGAAGAAACTGATCCAGGCTGTCAGGTTTCTGAAGTACAGTGTGTGTTTGCTGGTAAAGGTCAGGCTGATAGTGTAAAGCCAAACTGTGCTGAGGTCAGGACAGCAGCAGGAGATATCAGTCAGCTCTGAATCTAAAAGAGACATTCATTTTAAAACTGTTGTTGCTTTAAAGACATGGCAACACAGTATAGATCGATCTATTTTGGACAGTGTAATTTAACCAGTTTGCAGTGCAGTCATGACAAGTTGGATTTTATATTTAAAGAGGACAACGCACCACTGAATCTGTAATTTCTTTTTTGTGTGTAAGGCTACAACGTCCAATTAGTTTAAAGAAATTAAAATCAAAAGATTAATCTTCCGGGAAACATAAATGTGGTCAGTAAATTTTATGGCGGTGGAGTTGTGCAGCTGCTTCCTGAGCCAGTCTGAAATTTGTTAGGCGGGATAAAAAATGGGGACGTTATCTTCCTGTGCGAAAGACAGAAAGAGTGTGGATTAGTTGGAAATAGCTGTACTGAAACATATTTTATCAAATGATAGACATGACAAACGTTAACTGCTCCTAAAACTAACTACCACAGCTTCTGTGTCGACTGATGTCAATCAGGACTGTCCGTTTTTATTACTATTTACGAACTAAAAAATGATGTGTAAACACAACAGATTGTGTCTGAAATGCATTGTTACTCTGATCTCTCTGAACTTTTTTCCTGTCAGTAAACTAAACTATTGTTGTTCTTTTCACACAAAGCTGTGCTGAACAGATAATCACAACACCAAATCTCAGTCAGTTATCTTCTTGTCATTCAGTGGTAGGGGCGGCACCTCAAATGAACGCCACGTAAATTCTACAACATAGTTTACCTCAATATATTCTTTTGGTGCCACCCAAAATATGTTTTTATCTGGTACTTCTCTGGTCAGTTATTCTAGTTGTTTGTTTCATTTAATCTTTTTTGCCACTGTTTCCTGAAAAACAAATCTTTCTGCTTCTTCGGGATGATGAACGGCAGGTACTAAAACTTTCCACACATCTCATTAGGATCACTACATGATAAGGTTTCTTTTTGCATTTACAACCAGTCTGGTGAATTGGTTCTACTCAAGATATAATCAAACCACATCAATCAGGACTGGTACGACCAAATCAGTAAATAAAAATATCAAACCAGGAATCAGTCTCTTTCTCTCTCGTGTCTTTTTGGTAGTGCTTCATTATATGGGAGGGTGCTGCCATGTTTCCATCGGCTCTGTGTGGAATAACAGTCGTCTGGAAACTTCACCCGGCTGCCGTCTAGCCCCGGGCCCCCGCGGAAAACTCTGGAAAGCCTTTCACATAATGTCCCAGTCTCACTCAGACAGAGCGAACCAGACCAAAACAATGATCTATTTTTTTTTTTTTTTTTTTGCTATTGTCATTGTGATATACAGCACACTTTATAAGAAAGCAGCTTTTAGTAACCCACCTTTTAAAGCTTTTTGATGGGTAGTTTACTTTGTTTTGTATGAATGATAGACCATTTAGAGATACAACAAGGTTCGGTGATACATATGGTCACATTTTTGTCACATCTTTACTGATCGACGATCCAAATCATCACCTTTGAGGGGGCAGAACTAATCAAGTCCAATAGGAATGTTTTAATAATTTGTGCAATATCATTTCAGGGTGGAGGAGAACAGGGATCTTCTGCTGTTCTTTAGGACTCTCCGGACTTTCACAGACAGATGTGATGACCGGTGCAGAACCTACCAGCACTTCCAGGTAAGTGAAGACCAACCTGCACAGAAATGGACTTCAAACAGGCCTACAAACATCTGCTTTTCCATAGTGTTTGATTATTTGTGTTTTGACACATACAGAGGATTGACTCTGGATTTGACCAGGTTGGTCCTTTCCCTTCTAACACCACAGATTTTTAGAAACACGTTAGTATTTTAGCCAAGTGAGATTGCCCTAGCCTTTCTTTAATTGCTTGTGTATGAGTCTAGAAACTCAATGGAACATTTTTGACTTGTTGTTTAGTGACATGTCAGCATCGTTAGTGGATGACAAGATACAGCAGTCCATCCTGAATTCTTTCAGTGGGGAGACCAGATGGTCTATCAGTCAGTGTGAGAGCAGACGAACCTAAATGGGAACTTTAGGCTGGATTTGATCTTTAACCTCTGCTTGACCCCTGCTGAGTTTCACCCTCATCCATCAGTGGAGGAGCCTTGTTGTCTTGTCTAACATAGAGGTGAGAGGGTCAGTCCAGAAGACTCGGTTTCTCTTTGTGGCTCAGAGTGGACTGGCTCCAGGGTTTATATTTCAAAACAACAGTAAAACTCTCACACAGGCTTTGTTTTGGAAACCCTTTACCACCCACCGTTCCACTTACGGGACTCGTTATTTAGAACTTTCACAGACTCCCAGCATGTGTTGAACATGCAATATTTATATATGGATAGATTTGACTTCTTTTTTTCTTTTTGGTCATTGTAGTTATTTTAAAAAGACGCATTGTCTTTGTTGTCAAACTAATCTAGGTGCAGAATATACATCTGAAGCCTTAAAACATGGTATCTTCCTAGCTTCAAAGCAGTGTGGCAGCCCAACAGTGTAAGCCTGACAATGAGGTTTAAGGTTTACTTTCATGAAACTAAATGTGAGCTCCCAAACCACAGTATGAAAATCTTTGTCAATGCTGTTCTTCTGGAGAGTTCTGGTGAAATTTTGGAAACATTTGATATCCAGGCCTAAATTTGGGTAATTAAGCAGAAAGATACAGTAGTTTGATCGATGGATGGGTGAATGGATGGTTGGTTGGACATAGATACAACAAGATAGATACTCTTGATATGTTGCTGTCTTCTGGCATTATCTGAAAAAGAAATCTAATTTCATTTGAATTATAGTGCCAGCCTTACCATGTGTATGTGGGTTTACATCACGTCACCAATTATGACAACAGAGAATGTAATTTGTAATTGTTAAGCTGGTTGTCAGCTCTATGTCAACCATGAAGATACAATGACCCCTCTAGAAATGTTCAACTTTATAAAGGGGCTATTGTTTGTAAAGTGCTTAGATTCAGGAAGATGACAGAAGAGAGGAATTAAGGTTAATGCAGTGGGTGTGAATTGGTGTGGGCATGGTAAATGTCAGGGTGGGACTTTATTAAAGAGGTAGCAGTAAAATGTCAAACAGTAAATCAAGCTGCAGAAGCAATATGGAACCTATTCTCCTGTTTACTTGGAGAATGTAACATCCTGCCAAGTTGGCTGGGCTGAAAGTGGATTAACCCACATTTTCCATACTGGCCTGTGTGCACTAAACTCTTATTTTGCTTTAGTTGCATTTTCTTCAGTGTTATTATGGAGAAAATGTAATTCCCATTGTAACTGTTCTGCTGTAATGTGGGCTGTGCCTTGTATGCCGATTTCCATGCTTTAATGACACACAGACATGAACATGTATTTAGAGGAATAAACAAATAAAGATCTAACACCACAGATTTTTAGAAACATGTTAGTATTTTAGTGAGATTGTCCTAGCCTTTCTTTAATTGCTTGTTTATGAGTCTAGAAACTCAATGGAACATTTTTGACTTGTTGTTTAGTGACATGTCAGCATCGTTAGTGGAGGACAAGATACAGCAGTCCATCCTGAATTCTTTCAGTGGGGAGACCAGATGGTCTATCAGTCAGTGTGAGAGCAGACAAACCTAAATGGGAACTTTAGGCTGGATTTGATCTTTAACCTCTGTCTATGAAAGTCCGGAGAGTCCTGAAGAACAGCACAGTGACTGGCTGGTTAATGTTGTGGTCTACCAGCAACAAAAATTTTAAGAATTCACATACTTGATTGTATGTGAATTCTTTGTTTTTTATATCTTTATTTGTTTATTCCTCTAAATACATGTTCATGTCACTGTACGACTACAAGATTGCAGATGATGGTTGGCTGTGTAGCAGTTACAAACCACAGACATTTACAAGCATGTGGCCAATCACTGATTGGCATCTCTCCCTTGAGGACATATTAGTCTCAAATGTCTCTGCACACAGACACAGTCATGCACCACGGCTCCAGACTAACCTTTTCCACTGGTAGCACTGGTGCTATTAACTTTCCCAGTTGGTTGCACCAGCACAGGATTTGGTCACACCATGGTATTAATCAATGACTTTACATGATGATGATGAATAGATGCTGTTAGTAAAGCCCTGAAATCTAACTCTAAGATGTTTTTCATCCAGCCTTGACTGTGAATTAATCTTTATGGTTATGTCATGACTCAGTGATAGGGTTGCAAGCAAAAAGAAAGACGACACATTTTCCGATGATATATATATATATATATATATATATATGAAAGAATGTAAACATAGTTTTGGGGAATATAATTAGGCATACGGACAGATCATGAAACATCTATCTACTGTTGTGGTTGCATGTTGTGATTACATACACCAATCCAAAACTAAACTACAAATCAAAACCATCACCATCTACAACAGGACTGCTACAACCACTACCCCCTGTATAAAGTATAACTGTAGTTTCTTTATTCTTTTTTTTCTACCAAAAGTATTGCCTGTACTTTCAGCTAAATATTAACAACTATATCCCTTACATGTGGAGGAGACTCAAACTACAATTCCAAACACACTTTAATTAAAAAAGTTGAACTTTATTAAAATATCTTAAAGACATAGCCATGTCACATACACATCTTCTTGTACACAACTGTCTTATTCACATCAGTAATAATTTCTAAAGTGTAAGGGAAGTGTAAGGGACACAAGCAAGACATTTTAAAAGCAGACAAAATAAAAAGGAGTAACTTTCACATTACTATAGTTCATAGATACATTGTTCCCCAGTTCACTTCAACTGGAGTCTATAAATTAAAAACCAAAGTGAAGCTAAGTCACAAAATGTTTAAGAAAGCCTGCAGTCGGACAAGTCTGCATGGCCATCGCCCGTATGGAGAGGCATTTTTAATGGAATAATTAAAAGTGAAATTAATTCACACAATGGCAGAGCAAAAACCCCCAGTGTTGTGTTAATTTTTTGTCATTTTCTGAGACAACACTCAACGAGAAAAGTATTTACAGACTATTCCTGCTGGCATTCCAAGACAATCTAATGTTTATCAGCTGTCTGAGTCAGCTGGGATCAATAGTCTGACATGCAATAAATCTCAAAGCAACATACAATTAATGTTATGACAAATGCTCACAGGGTACTTTCCTTTTTCCAGTTAGTTATGTGACAAGATTAACTTGGAGAAAAAAAGACTTCAGATCAACATGTGTGTATCAAGTATTCCTTTTGTATGACTGAAATGTAGCATCTTCTCTCCTACTGTCGTCAGGACTCTATAAAATATTAACTGCAAAAATACTTTGATTGGAACGTGGTTTAACCAAAAATACATCACGTTTTCATTCAATGGTGATGGTATGTCAGACAAAACTTTCCTAAACTCTTAATAATTTCACAATGTGTTTCCTCAAAGCCAGCCTAAATCTCAAAAACCCATTCTCTTTACAGTTTTAGTCTGGAAAGTTTTAAATGAAGCATGCAACAGCATTAATACATATAATGAAATGAAATTCCTGATGACTGCCCACAGTGAGCAAGGTGAAAACTGTGACTTGGCTTTTCAAGGTTAGAAAAACACGTTGGTCTGTTAAAAGCACCTATTGGACATATTACTTGTTTTAGTATTCTAAAACATTTATTTAATATAATGTAAAATCTTGAAATAAGAGATTTTACAGTAGTATTAGATCTTTAGGTCAGAAAAAGCGTCAAAGATATCTAGGTTAACGTCATATCTTGAATTTAAATTTCTTCTTTACTACTTACAGTTACTTATAGCACCAAAATGCTTATTTGTTGTGTTTTAAACTAATAGATACAGGAAGTTATAAGCAGGCCTGTTGGCTTGTGGCTGTGTGTGTGTTGGTTCAATGTAGTTTGTGTAGTTTCATTCATCTAGGTAGTACAGCGTCAGGTCAAAATGAAACAATAAATTGGACTGTTGCTGTAGAGGCGTTGATGCTTCTCCACACATTCAAAGGGTTACATCAGTTCTACTGGAATTACGTTACCTGTGGAAAGGACATTCAGAGGGCACCTCTCCTGTGGTGTGTCTCAACAGGTTGCCTAAGTCAGGATATTTGTCACTTACAGTCCCATTGTCAAGGCCTCAGTATGCTTCAAACTAAGGGTTTGTCGGATTTATCAACGTCATCTGAAGCCACCTTTCTGATGATTGAATCAAAGGCTGTGCTGAATAACTTGGACAAACACGTCCACTTTATGCAGATTGGCCAAATGTGTGCACGTGTGAAAGTAGAAGTTTGAATTTCTTTATCAAGGTCTTCCATCACTTTGCTTGTGAACATAGGAGTGTAACACCATTAATGCCTTTGAAGAGAGACTGTCGTAAAGTGTGTGCCCTTATCCCCATTTGTGCGAGTCAACACATCTTGACTACAACATGATTCAAGAGACACAAGGTTGTTGGCAAGAGATCAGGGTGGCAGCATGATGCTGCCACAAGGCGACGACTGCTTTTCACCGTGCCTTTCATTGAGTATATTTATAACTAGTAGAAACATTGATTTTAGACGGGCTCAGACAAACCAGTTTGTTTGAAGCATGAGGCGCCCCCCCCTTTTCAGGCGTTTTTTCATCAATTCATGTGACAATAACTTTTATGTGAAACTTCCTGCAGACGTTTAAATGCCTGGTACTCCCCACCAGTCAGTAGAACTGAAGAAGGCCAGAGGTGAGAAACTCCTTCAGTTCTACACCTTCAGTCCAGTGAGTGGTTTCATTTCGACCTGACAATGTCACAAGTTGTTTGTAGGTTTGCTGAAGTAAAAACATTGACACCTTTACCCCCACCGTGGGATCAGTGCCCCAAAATCCAGAACGTCACGGTATCCCCCCAGCACTCTGTTGTGGGAAAACTGCTCCATCAGCAACAAGGGCGCTTCAGTAAAGTTTCTGCCTCCTCAGCGGTACCGTCCGACAGGCAGTACCTTCATACAGGTGAAGCTGTCAGGGTACTTAGACAGCACCACAGGGTTGCCGTCCAAACGGACCTCATTGAGGCTTGGTCGTAGGTAGTAGGTGTCATTGGACCTGCAGAAGGTGTTCACGCTGACCTCCGTGATGTTGTTGTTCTGGACGAAATGGAAACAGTGTTGAGAAGGAAACAGAGTAAAGCTGGTGAAATAACAATCCTCAGGATCAGGTAAAAATACTAAAATCTCACTAAGTAAGTTTTATCAAAAAGTTATTTTAATTTGTTTTAAATTAAATCTAGAACACAAAACAGTACAGCAATTTGGGGGTGTCAGTCATTTCTGAAGTCTTTTTATTTGTGTATATTTTTGCAGTAAAATACAAACCTGTAGATGTATGGTCCGAACGCTGTCAGGAATCTGTGGAACAGCTTCCAGCTGGTTGTCGGCAAGGAACAGGTTGATCAGCTTGGTCATTTTCTGTTGAAGAAACAAATTCACACCATTGACACCCTGTAGATTCAGTTGAGTTGCAGTATACACAACATGCTTGGCTGTAAACCAGATATACTTAGGGAATAGTAAAGTTGTGAATATGACTTATTTGGATCTGTTAACATTTGGGGAAATATGCTTTTTTGTTTTCCTTTTGTGATTGAGATGAACAGATCGATATCTGAAGCTGGAGTCATGATGGGGTGAGTGAACTTAGCAAAAAAGACTCACTAATTATTTTCTTTCATTTCTTTAATCTGTACACAAACATAAATGTAAAAAACAACAGGTTGTGGTTTTACGGGGAGTTAGGAGCTGCAACTCTTTCGTGTTGAAAAACAGCTGAGTGTAGCGACTGTGTGCAGCTTCCTGAAGTCATGTCATCACACTAAGGTTGCCAGGCATGGTACCATTGTTCCTGTACAGAGACTCGCCAACCGTATCTTGCGACCGGTACTATAGCTGAAGGGAAGGAATTACTGTCAAGAAAGGATTTAAACATATAACTCCCCCTAAAACCACAAACTTCTCATCTCACTCTTGGGATAAAGAAAATTAGCAATATATCCTAAAATGTTGAATTATTGAACTAACTAACGTAAGTGTTCCAAGTGTCTCTGTAATAGTTTTCTATAATATGTTGCACAGTAACCTAGTTAACCTAATAGTATCTTGTAGTAAGTTGTATAATATTTGCGTAGAGAAGAGATTCACAGAACAGTACAGTACAGGATTTGGACAGCCTGCCTTCATCTTCAGCATTACACTGCTGGTTCACTGTCAGTTTGGTTATATCATTGAAGCTTTTGTTCATTTGTCTGTATCTCTCTGAAGATCACTGATAGACAAATAGTTCTCTTCATTTTTAAAAAGCCTTGATTTGCCCCATCCTTTAGATCTGACTGAGATATTCCTAATTGAAATATTTGGGAGAGGTGATGACGTGTGTACCTTGAAAGCATTAGCTTTGACACCCTTGGTTTTGAGGAGGTTGTTATTGGCGTTGAAGGATGTGAGTTTGGCAGGGAGCATAGGAAGTTTGACCAGTCTGTTCTCAGCCAGAGACAATTCCTCTAGCAAGACCAGCTTAGAGAACGCCCCATCTTCAATCTCTGAGATCAGGTTCCCCGTCAGGTCGATCCGCTTCAGAGTCACTGTTGATAGATTGCATCATTACAAGGTGGGTAGTACCAGACAGGTGACACATTAAAGGAACCAACATAAAGTTTGGTAGTAAGGAGCATTTAGAACAGCCTCAGTGCTCCTTGGCATTATTTCTAATGCAAGTCTGTGGAACTCTACTGAAGGGATTAACACCATTCTTCCAGAAGATATTCCCTCATTTGGTGTTTTGATGAAAGCGCTGTCTAACATTATAGCCCTAAATCTCACATAGGTGTTCAATTGGTTTTGGACTGCGAAGCCGTAGGATATAATTCACATTTTCATACTTCAAACCATTCAGTGACCCCTCGTACCCTATGGATTGGGGAATTGTCATCCAAGAAGAGAAATGTTTCATCATAGATTAAAGCTGATCACTCAGAGCAACTTTGTGTTGGTTTGCAGTGACCCTTCCCTCTAAGTTGACCCAAACCATGTCAATGCCAGTTCCCCTCAAAACATAACATAGGCACTAGATCCCTTCACCTTAGGGGTCAAGCATTCCCTCTCTATGTGTCAACAGGCTGTTCTTGCCCTCACAGTCTTATCACATCGTGCAGTGACACTCACAAACCAGCATCAGAATCATCAAATGTGTGCTTTCAACCACAACCAACCATATTTACTGATGTCTTCCCAAAAGCTCTAAATGCAGATGTCACTTTCGTGACTGTTACTAATGAAACACAAGCCAGTCAAGTAGACTTTGTTGCCGAAGCTCCTGCCTCAACAATAATTGCCTGCTCAGCCTTTTTATACATGCCACAGAGTGTGCATGTTAATTGCTTGGTATCATTCGGTGCACCTGTGTGGAAGCATATGCATTTCTAATGTTCTGTTACTCATTTATTTGCATCTGTCTGTCAAATTGTTCTTCCAGAATTATTGTCCCTATGCAGACGATTGTTGTCCAGCACAAAGTTCTTGCAGTGTAATACTTTTCAGTGACCAAGACATAGACCAGATAACCAGCTAAATTGTTCGAACAAGAACCTGTTAAATGTTATTGTAGATGTATGTTTGTGAACTAGAGTTTCTTTGGGTTTATCATTACAGTTGACAAAGTGCAGCCAATCAAGTGAGTTTGGCATTATACAACTGTTTTCATAGGTTGATTAGTAGTGAAGACTAGTAAAGTGGTCTTCACCTGTAAAAGTGGTAGAGTGCTCCTTCAACACAAATGACTACAGGGGCTTTTTCTTAATAGTAAAATGCGGTATTAAAAGATTTAAATCAGGAAATATCTAATCCAAGAACATGACCAAGAATCTGACGAAGCACTCACCACCAACTTTCAGTCTTTGACAGCTAGCAGGACAAACTCGGCTGAACAATCAACAGGTTGTGATCCTTACTTACCAATGTCAGCAAAGTCTTTGGTGCTGATCTTTTTGATCTTGTTGAAGCGAGCATACAGGTAGGCTGTCTCCTTAGGCAAGGTGGGAACACTGGTCATGTCTGGACTGACCTCCTCACAGTACACTGAACCAGTCAGACACACACACAGCAGGCACGTTGGCAGATCTGCAACACAGAGGCATCAGAGTCTTGTTTAAATTTATATCAATGGGCACCTACTGTGGGCAGGATGGAAAGCTTTGACTAATTTTGCTCTCACAGCAATTTTAACAACAAACCATTAATCAAGCTTACTTTAGTTCAAACTATAGTTGCACCTAACAATTATGATCATGTTTTCAAATGTCTTATTATGACATTTGACAAGATATGTCTTGTCTGACCAACCAAACCACCAAGGATATCCAGTTCATCACATAAGACAAAGAAACCAAAAGAATCTGTGAAATTTTGAGAAGATGGAAACTGGTTGTTTCATATTGCTTTTTGAAAAATGACTTTAACAATAAATTTACTAATCAGTTAGTTGACTCATCAGCTTTAATCAGTTTCATATGACACAACAGCATAGCAAACAATTCAACAATCAAACCCATATTTTCCTACCTGTGTAGTTTGAAAGAATTTTATGGTAAAAAATTTACAATTTTTTTAAATAGTAAAGCCTCTTACATGTTTTTCTTACTTTATATCTTCTTTAACTCTTTATGTAGGAGTCATTTATCCCTAGTTCACCTGCCGCTAGTTCAAAACATGCAGCAGCGAGACCAGCCAAGAACATAGCCTTGGTCCATGGGATGCCAGCCTTACCATGTGGAAAACCAAGGAGCCCTAAGGAGAGTTTTATTGTTTGCATGGACTGGCTCAAGGTTACATTTCCAAACTCCTCAGTTCTTGTTCTACTTTCAGACCCCTCAGAGTCTACTAGTCTGATGGGTATGAGTTCCCCAAACCCCTACAAACGTCGTCTTTGAGATAGATATTACGTAACACACTTTAAACTGGCGAGTAGTTTTAAACTCCGTCTATAATTTAAAATTTGATGTTCTTCTGTGGCGCTCATGAGGTAAACAGATCTTTCTCTTACCAATGGGATCTCCTCCCTCTGAGATTGGGCTGTCATCAGGTTCATCACCAAGAGGCAGCGCCCTCTGCAGGAGAAAACATGGCCTGTTCATATACTGGCCAGCTCGTTGGCTATTGCAAAACATTGATACTGCCAGGGTTAGGAGGTCAGTTTTGGAAATATAAGCACATTGCACTGTGTCACATTTGTATTACCAATTAAAGATGGAAAGAAATCCTATAAATATCTGCATTGTGCTTGGCTTAACCTGGAGTCTGCTGTTACACTTCCATGTAAGAAGTAAAATACAAAACGAACTATTCGTCAGCCAGTGCACTTAAACAAGGTGGTCAGGTTTTGCTTAGGTTTGATTTAATGGTTGAACTCAATAAAATGACACTAACAGCTTGACAGTTTTCTCTCACAGCCACAGGCATGTAGACCGGGATTATTTGGAAAATACACTGATGATGATCGTGGCAATATTAAGTCTTGGATTAAACTGAATGTGTGATTTTAATCATTGGAGATTAAGAACTTTAGTCTGTTGGATTTAATAAATAAAGGCTAAGTGGGCATTCAGACCCAAAAAGCCCCACAAGAGTCTGGGATAGTGTGCCGTGTTGCTTTAACTATGGGTGAGAAGAGCAAATACAGTCCAACATGTCCAGCTTCAGTAACAGATCCATGAGTTCTCACCCCAAAACACTGTTCAGCAGTTTATAATACAGTGAGCCTGAAGTTTTCAAACAGACTTTTCATAATAATCACTCTTTTCCACAATATCCAGATGATTTACACCATTACAAAGTCTTTTACCAAGAATGTGTGCTTGGATGTATTTGATTGGGCCAATGCCGTGTGTTTTTGCAAGATGTTTCCGCTAAAGTTTATTCAGTTTATTCAGAGTCGGAGCCTCTGTATTGAACACAGTGGTCTGTGGTTTGTCTGAACACAGACTCTGTTCAGTGCCCTCATTATCAACAATCTGGAGCAGATTCTCAGACTATACTGGCTGGCAGATCTTTTTGTAGCAGTCCACATCATATTCCACAGCTGGTTACTGCTGATGACTGTCCACAGCTTTAACTGATTTTAATTATTGGTGAGCTGCAGTGTTGAACATTGTTTCTTTTTTTAGATTTCCATTCTTGTCCAGAGTGATGACTAACACTGCTCTTCCTGATATTCAGCTGTTGAGGATAAGTAACCATACCTGGTTCATGTTTTCATTCGTGTCTTTGTACTTACAGTGACCCATGTGCAGGCTTTGTAAAATGAAGCCGGTGTAATATTGTGGTGATGTAATGTAGGAGCCAATGAGGATCAGGTTCCTGACCCCAGAAGCCTTTAGACCTTTGGATGTTGTGATAAACTCGCCCGTCAGCCTGAGGAGTTTTGGGCCTATGAATGGCTCCTGGCAAATTCAAATCTTTGAACTGTGGTTGACGGGAAAGATATCACCAATACGTTCGCCACTGAAGCTCATGGATCTGAGGGCTTTTCAACCAGAGAAGGTAACTAATCTGCTACCAGTAAAGTAATAAAAGTTATAATCCTACATCCCTGTTGGTCTAATGGTTGGTAAGTTTATCCTCCACCATTGAGGGCCTGGATTTAGTCCGTTTGAGTGGCTATAACCAATCAAAGTATCCCTGAACAAAATACCAAACCTGTGGTGGGTCTCTGAACTAAAACATCTAAAGCCCTAAAACAAGTCAAAGGAAGAAAACAGAATTTTCCACAATGCAGATTAAAAGGTTAGCCGAAACGAAGCCTGTGGTTAATTGTAGCAGTAGTAAGGTATGAGTGCTGTCCCTGAAGGGTCTGGCACTGACAGGGTCTTGTATGAAAAACAGCTGGTCACAAATGAAATTTTTACTCATTAAAATTGAAGTTACGTTTCATAGCCATATTATTTCATTCCCTCTCATTCTCTGGGTTGTTTGTGGGTCTTTCACTCCCTGCAAGAGATTCCCGAAGGGCAAACCAGACCAGACTGTGGTTTTATTTCATCCAAATATTTCTTGAAGAGGTTTGTGTGGTTAGTTGAGGGTTAGTGTGGTCAATTTTGGTTGACTGGTGGAAGAACAAGTTAGACAGAGCAAGGTGTGTTTGTGTGTGTGTGTGTGTGTGTGTGTGTGAATGAATTATCTCTGGGAGGAGGATGGTGAAGTCAAGTGCTGACAGTTTCTGTCATTAGCAAGTTAGAGAAAGCAAATTCAATTAAGTTTAACCATGAAAGGGATTATTATTATTAGCTTTTAGAATACAGTAATGTGCCTGAACATTATCAACTTTTAACCAAGACCTAATCATCTCTGGGGATTAGTAAAGTCTTATATCTGATCCTTTTTTCATTTGTTTTAATTATCTTATGTTATATCTTATATTTTCTTACTTTGTTTGTTCAATTACCTGGAAACATTATGTAACACTGTTAACCATTAAGTGTAAGGATTGTCTTGTGAAGTCATGCTGCAAGTTAACGGCAAAAACAAACTAGTGATCAAAACAATTTACTTGCTGACATTTTAGTAGATAACATTTTTCAAGGCATACTTTATATAGATTAATTTGTTGAGTTATTTAAGATAACTTTTTTTGGCAGAGAAGTATGATGTAGGTAATAAAGCTCTTACCCTAGCCCTCCTTGATTTCAAATGGTCACTGAAGTATCCGTTCAGCTCCCTGGCAGGTAGAGATCCCGGTATCAGCTGTGAGTCCTGGTCAGACCTCCTGGCCGAGGCTGCCACCAGCCAAGGCACCAGCATACAGGTGAATAAGAGAGCCTTCATGCTGTCCAAAGCAGTGTGATGCCGACACACCAGCTCGCCTTAAAGCCTGAGTTTGGGTCAGCAGCTGCTCTCTGCTACGAGCCCCTGTTGGGATGTGTCAAATGACTGTATTTAAAGGCTGAACCAGTAGCTTCCAGCAGACTCTTAAAGCAGAGTTTATAGAACAGAGCACTTAACCCTTCCCTGACCACCCACCAGAGAGAGCGAGAGAGAGAGCGAGAGAGAGAGCGAGAGAGAGAGCGAGAGAGAGAGAGAGAGAGAGAGAGAGAGAGAGAGAGAGAATGTACAGAAAGAGGCACATATGGAAAAAGTCACAGAGTCAGTGACAGAATAAAGTGTCTTTTTTTCTTCTGTTAAATGACCCTTAAATGTGTACAGGAAAAAATACACAGCAAAAACTGCAGTGAATGCAGAAAAATTGAAAGTTGACAACCACAGTGTGAGTGTGTTTTGTCAGGAGGAATGTCTGTGGTCGCTGCCCAGCCACTCAGTAATGACTCGTAATAACCAACCTATCTTTCATTAGGCTGGATGAGTGGGTCTTTTTCTGCACTGGCTCTGTTTTTCTTTCAGCCGTTGGTCAGACAACACATTTAGCAGCCGTTACACAGGCATTGATTATAGGCAAAAATGTATGTGATCATTTTGGACTGACCATAAGTCGAATCTGCTTTTCTTTCTGTACGAGTCCTCTCTGAGTGACTGAGATTTCAGGCTAGGGTTGATGTTACTCTGTGCATTCACCTCTTTGAAATTTACAACCAGTGAAGCTGGTTTGGGAAAGGTAATAATTTCTCAGGATGTAATGTGAATACAGACAAAGCTAATGTGCAAAGAGGTGTGTTACTGGACAAGAGTTTTATCCAAGTGATCTAATTTGCATGGTTACATGGTTCTGATGAAACGGCATTAAGCCGTTTAAATGTTTTCAATTTAACGTCTAATTGAATTTTGAGATGGGAAGCATTCAATTTGAGCTGCGATAGATTGGTAGATTGGTGTGTGTGCAATATTATATTTTTATATATCACAACAAATGGCGTCTAGTATAGTTTAGTTTAATAGGATCCCTATTAGCTAACATCGTGACATCAACTTGTCTTCCTGGGGTCCAACACAGACATTTATTGATTTAACAAACAATTATATACATTAAATACATACAAACGTCATCTTGCATACAAAAATACATTACAGTGCATTTGGAAAACATCTATACGCGTTGAATACTCAAGGTATGACAACCAAATTTTAGGGGTGACATATTAGACTAGATTAGTATTCTCCACCACCATCAGTCAAGTCAAAAGGATGTTCATCACTCCAGTAGAGTTTTCCAGACTTTGATAATCTATGACAAGGACCACTGAAGCTGTTGTGGAGGCTCATATGGAACAACACCTTACTAATACACTTTATGATGGGTTTTACTTTGATTTGTCACTTGTCTGTATGTGGAATTACAGCTGTAATATTGAGGAGTTGGTTCTTCTCTGTCGTTATTGGTGTGATGTAATGTGTGAACAGATACTAAGCACAGATTAAGTGTGTCTTCATTCACTGTGTAGTTGTCTTATGAGTTCATGTCAGAGTGGCTATAGAAACTTTCAGGATTGTAGGCATGGACTGACATATGTTTCTCTGTACATGAAGCTTAGTTTTAAATCAGTGCACTGTTTGAATAAAAGAGTTATGTCAGAAGCACTAAGGTGCTCTATTTAAACCAACTGAGGACTCTATTCGTGAGACTGGAGCCACGACAGTCCCTCCAGCAGCAGGACTTGGTTTCCTTATTGCTTCCTTCCTGATGTTGAGGTGTCTTGAATGACAATGTTGTGCAAAAGTTCAGATGCTTCTCATCTTTGAACATTTCTGACTATCTGTTCTGCTTTCTGATACAATATATAAAATTCAGTCGGTTGTTTTATAATAACTTATCATAACTTCACAGGTAGAGCAACACACCAACAGTTTCATGGCTTGTCCAGTCTTTGTATTGATTTTGATAAGTGGAATGGGTGATAAGCTGTGAAATAGTAAAGCAGTAACAGGCAGAATTTACCACTGTCAATGACACTCCCTTCATCAGTTATATAAATTTCACCTTTTCAGGTGTATCTTTGATGTCAGGAATAAATTAATCAATCTTACTGAAAATTATGGGGTTTTTTTTGGAGTTGCTTGTTATATTCACAATCATCTTCAATCCTTCATTTATGGGAATTGTTTGGAGTCTTCTACCATGCCAGGTGTAGAAGGCATCATCTGTGTTGAGATTTCTCATGTGCATCATTTTAAAACCGAATTTCGATCTAATAGTCTTTGGCCTTTATAGTTTTGGCAACATCTGCATGCAAAAAGCTACACATAATCATCAATGCCTGAGAGAAAAACAGACATTTTCCATGACGTGGCAGGACGCTGGATATTTGCTCGGGAAAAAAAGTCAAAATGGTAATTTGGGTAAATAGTTCAGTACCTTCTAATAGGTTCAGTCTAGCATTCACAGGGCTCCAGACTAACTTTTTGCATTGGTTGCACTGGTGCGCAAAATTTAGGTGCACCCAAATTTTTCATTGTGTCGCCTTTAACGCCATAAGGTCACCTTTTTATCGCTCTCCATAACTTTCATATAATGTGAATGATTTTTAAACAAGAATGAGGTGTAGAGAAATGCTTGTCTTTATTTGAAGCACAATTATATATAAAAAGTTCTCTTTCACAAAGGCCACTTTCTCTACACACTTGTCACGGCATATCGTGTGTTTTTTAGACATGTTGTGTTTTTTTAAAGTTTCGATACGAAACGTTGTTGACCCGCTCACGAATGCACTATTCCGACCATATTCTGACCGCACTCCTGACAGTACACGCAGTGCATTGCGTTACGTCCTTTGTTGTACCTCAGCCAGGGAAATTGTTTCAGCCAGTCCTGTCTGAAGGAATATATTTTGGCCTTTTTAATTTGGGTCTCGGAGCCGGGACTATCCCAGACTCAGTTGTCTCCTCCTCTAATTCCGAGTCTGATGCTGTCGCCGAAAGACGGGGGCTTGGTATCTCACCAGGGACCGAAGGCTCCATGTTTTGACGGGATGGACTCTCAGTAGTGGGGATGGACGGGATTATAGTAGTAGAGCTGGTTGTAGGCTTGGTTTTCCTAATGAAAAAACTTTCAATATTTCTGCCTCTCTTCATTTTCCCTTGTTTTGTCACGTTTATTTTATTTTTCCGTTTCAGTTAGTCAGCTATTCTGGTGCTCAGGTCGCGCGCAATTTTTAAACACACGCAATTTAGCGCTGTGAACAGGACCACAGCCAATCAGAGGCAAAGACCCGCCCGAGCTCTGTCTCTTATTGGTTTAGAACACGATATGATCCTACCATGAGTGTGTGAGTTCGGTCACAGGAGAACACAGAGAGATGACACGCTTGCGTAATAAACCCAGGCAGCGTCAGGTGCACCAGTGCAACCAAGAAAAATTATTAGTCGCATGTGCGACCAAATTGGTTGCACTCTGGAGCCCTGATTCATTTATGAGGCCCATTAGCTGTATTTCTGAATGAGTGTTTTATATGAACTTCACACAAATGACCAATATCAGACATTGGTGCAACAATAGATTAGGTATATGTACTTCTTTGGTGTTCTTTTATTATTATTATTGTTATATATTATATAATTATTCTTTTTGCCTTTATTGGACAACTGACAGTGAAGTCAAGAAACTGAGGGAGGGAGACGAGATGTTACAGTATGACATCCAATAAAGGTCTCCAGGTGGAATCGAACAGTGGATATTTCAGTTATCTGGCTTGCACCATAACCTTTTTTGACGCTGGTCTGTGGCAAGTGCAGGGGGTCTCTATTCTCCTAGTGATGAGAAGGCAGAATCTTTAACCCGATTGGTTTTATCCACCTGCCACTCGTGAACCGACTCCTGAACTACTGGTATTCTTTTGTTTCTTCTAGCACTTAAGTCCGATTCAACAGGAACAAAATAAAGCTAACCAAAACTGTCTTGGTTAGTATTTCCACTCTTCCAACAATCACCAACTCTAGTTTGGTTGAGGGAAACCCTTAATTCACTGAGTTACAGGTGAAACTACACACTGTTTCCCCTAGCTGCCTCTCTGCCATTTCTGGCCTCTTTGTGCTGCTGGGTTAGCTCACTGAAAGACAGTCACTCATTCTTCACTGCTGTTATGCAACCCATTATACAACAAACTATGATGCACTGTGTGTTCTGACACCTTTTGTATCAGAACCAGCTTTAACATTTTCAGCAGTTTGAGCTACAGTAGCTCGTCTGTTGGATCGGACCACATGGGCCAGCCTTCGCTCCCCAAGTACATCAGTGAACCTTGGCTGCCCATGACCCTGTCTCCGGTTCCTTCCTTGGACCACTTTTGATAGGTACCGATCACTGCAGACCAGGAACACCCCACAAGAGCTGCAGTTTTGGAAATGCTCTGACCCAGTCGTCAAGCCATCACAGTCTGGCCCTTGTCAAAGTCACTCAAATCCTCACTGCCCATTTTTGCTGTTTCTAACCCATCAACTTTGAGGACAAAATAAAACTAGTTAACATGATGAACAGAATAAAAATGTTCCTAAAGATGACCGACAAAGGTGAATAGGTTCTCAGTGGTCTGCGTGAACTCTAACCAGAACAATGATCCCTGGAAGATATTGTGAGAACATTCTGGACAAGTCATATCTCAGCTTTTCATCCCTTTAATCAATGCATCTCTATGGTTTAATTTTTATCAGACCTCTACAGCCTCGCTTTTCAAAAGAGTTATGAAGTGCTGTACAGGCAATAACACATCGATAAATAACTGCTAATATGATAAACACAACAAACGCCAGAAACGAATCAAAAACAGAATTATTGGAAAATGGCTGAAAAAAGTATGGGAGAAATTTCCAAAGCAGAAAGGCCAAGAGATTCTCAGTAATAAAAAGAAGAGACTCTGTTCACTCAGTCTATTCAACAGCTGCTGAGGTCCAGCTGTTCTTGGGTTGATTTCAACCTTGGTTGTCAAACCAGAGAGATGTTGGGCTTCCCCAGAGCAGTTCTTAAGAATGTGCTTTTTTTTGGTGTTGTCCCTAGACACGGTAAAATGAAAG